TTAAGTGAACGAGTTCCGACAACGAATCGTGAGTTCATTTATTTATTTAGTGCTTTGAATATATCGAAAATTTATTTAAATCTGCTAATCGTGTCGAACATAGCTGTTGGGTTTTTATCATATTATTAATTAAAATTTTTAAATATTGTGTGTGATATAAATATGTTTTAATATTTCTAAAGTAATATACAAACTATTATAATGATGAAATATACATATTTGAATTTCAAATGAGCGCATTTGTAAGAGAAATTAATTAAAACGTTTGTTTATTAGTGAATAAATTTGGTTGTGCTTAGTTTATGCAAATATTTAGTTTATACATACACACACAAATACACACGCACACGTATAATATATACATATATATATATATATATATATATATATATATATATATATATATATATATATATATATAGGGTGGTTTTTAATGTGGACATTTTCGAATTTTTTTGCTCCCAGGGGCTCAAATGCTTTAAAATTGATAAAAAAAATCCTCTTAGCTCTTAATACTGTCTTTTAGATATTGCGCAATTCAATCAAAGTTTTGTATGGAAATAGCATAAAAAAATTTTCAAAAATTTAAAAAATGTTCAACTTGTACAAATGTAACAAAACAAATTTTAAAAAACGTATTTTGCAAAGCGTCGAATTTTCAATAAAAGATGATACAAATTGTCACTTTTAATTCATTTGTCGCTAAGTTATACCTAAAAAAAAACATTTTTAAAATTTTTAAATTTTTTCTATGCTATTTCCATACGAAGCTTTGATTGAATTGCGCTTTATCTAAAAGTTAATATTAAGAGCTTATACTTACAAAAAAAATCTTATCAATTTGGAACAATAAAAATTCTAAAATGTCCATATTAAGGATCACCCTAATATATATATATATATATATATATATATATATATATATATATATATATTTATATTTATATTTATTTGAAATATGTTTCAACGCCGAAAAAACTATCAAGATATATATATATATATATATATATATATATATATATATAGGGTGGTCCTTAAAATGGTCATTTTAGAATTTTTATTGTTCCAAATTGATAAGATTTTTTTTGTAAGTATAAGCTCTTAATATTAACTTTTAGATAAAGCGCAATTCAATCAAAGCTTCGTTGCTCCCAGGGGCTCAAATGGTTCCAAATAGATAAAAAACAATTCTCTGAAAGTTTTAGCTCTTAATATTAACGTTTATACTTGTTTATCTACGGTTTAGATAGAGCGCAATTCAATCAAAGTTTTGTATGGAAATAGCATGGAAAAATTTTCAAAAATTTTAAAAATGGTTTTTAGATGTAATTTAGCGAACTAATGAATAAATAAAACACATTCATTTGTCGCTGAATTATACCCAAAACATTCTTTTTTAATTTCCAAAAATTTTTCCATGCTCTCATATATGTGGGTGTGTATTTCGACATAAAGTTTTATGTCATCATCAGTGAGTTTTAGATATAGTGGATTACATCTATTGACGTACCACTACCATTTATACGCAATCTTTTCTTTAACGAAGAGATCTTTTTGTTTTAAGTAAAATAATTGAATAAAGCAGAGCATAACTATGCATAAAACATGAATAATTTATATAGATTATAGAATATTTTTGCAAGATTAAGTTGTAATTACGATTGGCTCCGATTGGCTAATCGTAATTTAGAGAAAGTAAAGAGAAACAATTCGATTTTAATTTTTTGAGAAATTGTAAATTTTTGAAAATATTCGTTTTTTTTTGATAATTTTGATAAAATATTCTAAAATTTCAATCAATAATTTGGAAATTAAAAAAAAAACGATTTTATTGCAAAATTCTAAAAAAATCTCCTATGCCTTCATTATATCTTAGATTCATTAGTTTTTATAGACTAGGTTGTCAAATATCTCCCTTCCGCCTTTTTGTATTATAAACCAATAGCAAAAAAGGCGGAAGGGAGATATTTGACAACCTTATATGTACAAATACATAAGTTGTTAATAAATAACGCTTTTTGCTCATTTTAATAAGCACTTATAAAATCACAGTATTTATAATAATCTATTTGAAAATATTTGAAACAAATGTTATTGATTTTTTGAATTTTTATTTGTTAATGATTATTTTTATTCCTTAAATGGTTAATTACTGTACGGAAAGTTCCAGCAATTTGCTTTAAGCAGGCACAAGGCCATGCACCACTTAAATTTATTTTTGCGTAAAAATTAAAAAAAAGCCCAAAATCATGTATGATATTCTAAGAGAAATATCTATACGTTCAAATTATGAAATATTTAGTTTATTTATATAACTATAATTTTTAAGATATTTTAACGCGTATAAAAAAGTTGTGGAGGAGCTGGGATTTGAACCCAGGACTTCCCGCATGCGAAGCGGACACTCTACCCCTGAGTTACACCCCCTTCGGAATAAAATAATATTTTCGCAAATGTGAATTTTCAAAATGTGTCAAAAAAATGAATGCAATGCGATATTAATATTTGAACATGCACATAATTTTGTTCGTGAAATAAAAGATTATTCGACATGCAAATTCGAAACAAAAAAAATATTTAGATCCATGGTGCGAGAGCTACTGCAATGCAAGATTTCCTTGCCCTTTCTCGCCTATCATTCCCATTCTCACTATTTGCTCCCCCCTTCACTTTTTTCATGCACTTTCGTTTCCGAGCGTACTTTTTTGTGGTGATTTTTCTTTCTCCAATGATAAATTTACAGTGCTTTCAAGTGCCTCTTTGACGAGCCATTCTACATACAGGTTGAATAGGAACGCTGACATTACAGCATCCTTGCCGCACTTCTCTACCTATGCCAACGCTCTTTGTATCCCCCTGGTTAACTCGAACCTTTACTTTCTATCTTATATACAGATTCTGGATCAGCCTTCAATCCCTCCAATCGACGTTAATAGATTTTAAAATTCCCATGAGCTTACTCCAGTTGACTCTATCAAAAGCTTTCTGCCTATCTATAAAACAGAAGCATATGTCTGACATTATTTTCAATATTCCAATAGCGTTCCTGGTGCCTCTTCCTTTTCTGAAACCAAACTGGTTTTCCCTCATGTGCTGCTCGATCTTATTCTCGAATCGTCTCGTAAGGATTTTGGCCAGAACCTTTCCTGTGTGCAAGTCAAACTGATTGTCCTGTGATCGCTGCACGCTTTGGGCTTTTTCTGTAGAACTACCATCGTTACATCCAGAAAGTCCCTTGGTCATTCGCCCGTTTGATATATTTGGTTCAATAATTTGGTCAGTTTCCTTAATTAGTTATCGTCCGTTGGTTTCTTTCTTCTCATACTATTTACTGCCCTCTCAAATTTCCTTTTCAATAACGCACGGTTCCTTGTCGTCTTCGTTCACTTCTTTCTCGCCTTCGGTCTCAATATTATAAGGACGATTTTCTTTATCGTACAATTTCTCAATGTATTCTTCCCACTTGTTGAGATTTTCTTATGGTCAGTCACTCTATTTCAACTATCGTCTTTCATTTCATATATTTTTTTGCTTTTCCTTTCAGTCTAATCCATTTCCTTTGTTGTTTTTGATGTTCCATTATTCTGTTGCACGTTTCGTGCATGTATTTCATATTTGGCATATCCGTTTCTCGCCTTATTCAATTTTCTATATATCCACGGAATTGTATACTCATACCTTCTGCGCTCATTCAATTTCTTTATCATCTTCTGGGTTATCCACGGCTTCCTAGCTACTTTTTCTAGCCTTTTGACGTTGTGTTACAATGTTTCCAGAAGTACACTTTTTACCTTATTCCAATTTGTTTCTAAAGCCTCTTTCTAATCTTTCATTGCGCAGAATTTTGTCACCGTTTCTCTCCTTACTTCGACTCTGTTATTCCTCAAGTTTTCCAGATTCCATCTCCGTCTTCTTTTACAAAGTGGTACATTGTGAAACCGTCCGATTTGGTTTGGTTCACTCTGTGCTTGTCATCTTACTTCGCTCAGTTCCACGACGTCCACTCTGCACTTGTCCATTTCTCTCTTGAGGTTCTCCAGTTTTCCTGCCTTCATCATTAACCTAACGTTCCATGTTGCTAACCTAAAAGGCAAATTGACCGCAGATTTGTTGCTACTTTCGATGGCTTTCACCTCCATAGTCTTCACCCAGAGATCCGAAAGAAATGTCATTACTCCGGAATATTTTACAGAAGAGGAAGTCACCATTGGAACCATTTTCTTGTAGAATGCTCTCACGCCTACTCTGGGAAGAATGTAATGTGGTAGTATTCTCCTTTTCTTTTTCACACTTTCTTTTATCTCCGAAACGGCTGGAACTGCCTTTGCCAAAAACTAATCAGCCCTATCAAAAGAAATCGAATGTTTTTTAAACCATTCAAATCGGTTGATCTGTGCGTCCGAAAACGTGGACGAAAAATTATATCTATACATACATACACACACATAAATCTATTTTTTTAAGGTATGCCAAAATGTTAAGAAACCTTCAAAACGCGAAGAAATGCAAAACTAGACTCAACTAAATCTTGCCAGTTTAAATAAATATTTTTTTAATTCTTATTTAAAATTATAAAAACACAATGGGTCATAAAATTTGTGCTGCGCATACAAATTCGAGTTAAATAGTTTTATTTTTTCTTATTAATTTATTGTACAATTTTATGAACTACCTTTATATGATTATTTATGTAAAAAGAGAATCACTGAAACGAAGGTGCCCTTAAATTAAAATTAGTTTTTGTTATTATTTGCCCTATTTGATTCATTATAAGTTTATTTTTAAGAAATATCAACATTGTATAAATCAGTTTATTTATAAGTTTTTCATTTATGTTGGACAATGTAAAAGCATTTTTAATATTCACTTTTTTCTGACAATGAGTTACCACTGCAGAATTGCCAATGTTGACAAATAACAGATAAAATGAATGTTGAAAAATACTATCAAATATTGTATTCATTTTACTAATTTATTAACAATATATTTGCTTTTTTCAGGAAATAATGAGGGAGCAAATTTTCTGCGTGAAGTTAATAAGGAATATAGGAATATATCCCATATTACAGCTCTATTATCGTGGGAATTCAGGTAAAACTAATTTTGTCAACTTTCTGTAAGGTAAGTCATAGTACGCTTTAGTGATTTCTGAACATTTGGGCATCAGAGAAAATGGATTATGTATGTGTGTGTATGTACGTATGTGCGGATACAATTTTTCGTCGACGATTTTGAGAACACGAGCAACCGATTTTAATTATTTAAAACACATTCGATTTGCATTAATGGGACCATATGCTAATTAATTAGTGTTGGCGACAGCAAGTCCAGCCGTTTCTAAGATACTGTCAAAAAGTGCACAAAATGGCAATTGATGGTGTGAAGAAATGATTGATTTTTAATGAAGACGGATCAAAAAATTTTTCCAAACACTTTAAATATTAAAGAAATGTCTAAATTTCAAAACCAATTGACAATTTCAAAAAATTTCGAAATTTTCAAAAATTTCACAAAAATTAAAAATTTTCAAAAAATTAAAAAAAATTAAAAATTCCGAACAATTTAAAATAAAAAAAAAAACGATTTTATTGAAAAATTCTGGAAAATTCTCGTATGTGTTCTATCTATCTATCTATCTATCTATCTATATGGTTTCATTAGTTTTTGTATATACATACATATATGTACAAACACATAAGTTGTTTATAGAATACGCTCTTCGCCCATTCTAACAAGCACTTATAAATTTACAGTATTGATAATAATCTATTTGAAAATATGTAAAACAATTGTTATTAATTATTCAATAATTTTATTGATTGTTTTTATTCCTCAAATGGTTAATTACTGTACGGGAAGTTTCAGCAATTAGCTTTAAAAAGATACAATGCCAAGCACCACTTAAATTTATTTTTGCATTAAAATTAAAAAAGTCTAAAACCATTTATGATATTCTAAGAAAAATATCTAAACGTTCAAATTATGAAATATATACTTTATTTATGTAACTGTAATTTTTAAAATATTTTAACGTGTATAAAAATATTGTGGAGGAGCTGGGATTTGAACCCAGGACTTCCCGCATGCGAAGCGGACACTCTACCCCTGAGTTACACCCCCTTGGAAATAAAACATTATTTTTGTAAATGTGAAATTTTAATATGTGTCAAAAAAATGAATGCAATGCTATTGCGATATTAATATTTGAACATATACATAATTTTGTTCATGAAATAAAAGACCATTCGACATACAAATGCGAAACAAAAAATATATTCAAAATAAAATTGATTCATTACTTAAATCCAAAATTATGCTTGGAATGAAAGATTTTCAACATCTAATTGCAAAGATTGTCGATCCCAGAATGGAATCGACCCCTCACAAAGAAAGATGAACCAGTACTGGATTCGGAATGCAGCTCATATGACGGCCATGGCCAAATTGGCCGTCAAACAAATTAACACAAATGAGTGCTCTTTTAGCTATGGATCACTTGCACGAACTCGAAAGTATCTCAAAAGATGAAGGCCGAATGAAAAAGATGAAAATCCCGGAACCCAAAGCGAAAGTGAACATTATTAAACCAGAGGTAGAGGAAAGCAAAAACAAAGAGGAGACACCGGTCCGAATTAAAACAGCTATTAGAAAACCGATAACAAGAGAAATGAATTATTTTTAGTTGACAATCACAAATTCGTTATGCTTCCTCAAAATTGACAGTAAATACCTTTTTTTAATTCTGTAAAATAATCATTTATAAAACAACTTAACTAAATGTTTTTTATTTGTTTAGCTAATTTATCTCATTGATATTTGAATTAATGTAAGATAAGATAATATTCTTAATAATAGAAGTAACTTATATCAGCCACCCGTCAATTTAGGTTCCTTCAAAATCGGTTCAGCCAATTTTAAAAATTTTTCGGAACAAATAGACAGGCAAACAAAAATTGTGAAAAATGTTATTTTGGCAAAACAGTAAAAACGGCAAATCAGTTTTTGAGAGAAAGGAGCGTTCAATTTGAATGATTCAATATGAACATTTCACTTGTATTGACAAAATGAAGCATTGATTGAATTTTTGTGAAAGTAGGTCCAGCGGTTTCGAAAAACCAAAAAATATGCCATTTGGCACGTGCACATCATATTATCAGATATTTTATAGAGATTTTAGTAATAAATTTTGTTTCCAGTTTATTGGGTTCAAGTGGGTATAGCTGTGCCACTTTTTTTGATTAGCAATAATTTTAATATAGCAGGTATCTGGAGAAAAAGTGAATTAATTAATCATTTGAACATTGTCTACGTGAAAATACTCAATACTACTCTTAAATACGATGGATTTGTCATAAAACCAAATCATACAAGAAAAGGGCGAGTGTCACGAGGGATGGTTGTGACAAGCTTAAAAATATGGCAAAAACAATAGTTATAAAAACTTCTATTGTTGTTAATAATAATAATAATCTGTAATACAACACAGCATAAACACTTAAACAAATCTTATAAATAAAATATTACAATGTATAACAAAACATAATTTTTTAAACAAAGGTAACAAGATTTTTTTGTTTTTTTTTCTTTTACTGAATTTGCCTTTTCTTTTCTATTTCGTATTTTGTCTTTTGTATTTGTTAGTTAAGTTAGATTTTTTTTGTCAATCTAATCTTCTCCCGAAACTGACAAAAAATACATGTCACAACCGTACCCACAAAATTTGTCACTACCGTACCCAACGCACATTTTTGAAAACAAGTCATTGTTTTGACTGAGCTATTTGTTTCGGTACATAATGAACTGTATTATTAAAAGAATTCGAACATGAAAACCTTCTTTTGACTCTTCAAAAGCAAATCGGTCTACGGATCATGTTAATGTAAGGCAATGACAAAAATCATTAATGGAAACTTGTTCGAGCAAACATACTTCATATTTCTCCATTTGGACCCTATCTCAAAATCAGTATAGTTTAGCTGCTATGACGACTATCACTATCTTGCTGTACTAGTTCCAGTGGCGTACCTAGGGGGGGGCGGTGGGGGCGGTCCGCCCCGGGCGGTACTTATTTTGGGGCGGCATTTTTTAGTTTATTTATACATAGTTGTAAAAAGCAACTTATTCATTTTATATTTATTAACTTCCGTAGGGTAAGTTATAGTAATGGACCGACAATCGAAAATGCAATTTTTTACATTTCTTCACGTCTTGAAGGTTTCTGAACATTTTGGCATACCTCAGAAAAAATGGAAGTGTGTGTGTTTTGTGTGTCCGCATTTTTTCGTTCACGTTTTCGGGCGCCCCGATCAACCGATTTGATGGTACAGAAAATAGAAATCGAGTTTTTGAGAGAATGAAACATCCGATTTGATTGATGCAAAAAACTTCAATTTGTAATGATGAGAAGAGGTGGTGATTAGTTTTTCGCAAAGGCAGAGATACCAAGCAAAATGTGCAAAAAATATCTGTTTTTGAGAGAACTAAGCATCCGATTTGAATGATTCAAAAAACTTACTACGTGGATTTTATTTTAAATTCCACCTAAAGTACAAATGCTCACTTATATACTTGAAATAAATAATTTTAACTTTGTAATTCAGTTTATATATTTCTTATAAATATTAGACAATGCCCTTTATTTCAAATTTGATTGATTGAGTTTTGTTTATTTACTTTTCTGTAAACATATATAAGTTACAGTATTTATAATTATATATTTGAAAACATTTAATTTTCCTCGAATATATCATTACAGTACGGAAAGTTCCAGCAATTTGCCTTAACTTACAATGCCATACACCACTAGTTAACTTCCCCAAGGAGAAGTTTATGTTTTCATCAAAAAATCCGAATCTCTAATTTTATGTTTTCTCGACGTTTCAAGCCATTCTGAATCGAATGAGCCCAAATTTGGAAAAAGTATGTGAATAGATTTTTTGTCGTAAATTGTCATTTTTTCAAAAACGGCTAGACCGATTTCAAAAATTTAAAAGCCACTCGATGTATTTCGATGAGGACTATTATTGTCAGTTTTGTGCGACGATCGGCCAAGCTGTTTCTTTATAAATCGCCGAAAAGTGAAAAATATTTCGTCTACGTTTTAGCCTGCAATTCTGAATTGATTTTGAAAATTCAAAAACCGTTCGAAAGATATTAGTTGGAAATCGTGCTGATTAGTTTTTGGTAGAGATCGGCCGGGCCGTTTTCTTAATAAAGTTAAAAAAAAAAAAATTAGACGATTTTTATGATTATTTTTTTGACGGTAGATACCATAGTCTTCTAGATCATACTAAAATATTACGGTCCTACGACAACTGGTTTAGCTTTAAAAATTCGTCAACGTTTGCAAAAATTAGTATGGTCTTTTTAGCATTTGTCAAAATTAGACCTATTAACCAATTAGGCATATCGTTTCTCAGTTTTGTGCGACGATCGTCCGAGCCGTTTCTTTGTAATTTGGAAAGAAGTGTTAAACCTTTCGTCCACATTTAAGCTCATATTATCAAACCGATTTTAAAAAATTGAAAACTGTTCGAAAGATATTAGTTGGGATTGATACTGATCAGTTTTAGGTGAAAATCTATCGAGCCGTTTTGTTGTAATTAACAGTTGAAAAAAAACTTAAGCCGATTTTTATGAAACTTTCTTTGGCAATGTATATTATTGCCTTATAGAACTTACTGAATTATTACGGCCTTACGACAAGTAATTTTAAAAATTTATCAAAATTATAGAAAATATTTTTTTGACGTTTGTTAAAAATAAAATTTGATGATTTAGTTGGTATGACGATAGTGCACTTGGTCTTGAACATAGTAAACCATTAAAGTCCTACGGAAACTGGTTCTGGATTATAATTATTGATTAATTAAAATTATTGATTTTTGAAAATTTGCTTTTAGAAAATACTCCGAGTTAACGTGTTTGTTCGTTCGTTTGCAATGATGTGTAATAAATCCACTCGGAATACTTTTAATCACTCATAAATTAATTTATTTTTTATTGATCAAGACGATTATTTACACATTTCGGGAAGTTCATGTAACTTGCCTCAAGGCAAAATACCAGTACCAACTATACCAGTTCTTTCTTGAATTATAAATGATCATTATGATTTTTATTATTGTCAATATTTGATTTATATAAATTATGATTAACCATATGATTTAGAATTTTATTCCTTGGTGTATATAAATGTATATTTGTGTAAATTTTGATTTCCAATTTAGGAACAGGTTAATAATTTTATTTTATTGTATTCATTAAAATTCGTTGAATTTGTATAAGCATCTTTACGATTTTGTTCAGCGATTTTTCCTATTTTTTTATATCAGCTTATAAATGTCATTTCTTTTGAAAAGTTTATATGATTACTTTGAAATGATTTATCAATATTTTTTTAAATCATCAATTTTTCTTTTGAAAATCAGGACTGGCGGAAGGCGGGGTCTGCTAGGTCTGCAAACCCTTAGGGCATTATATAAATATGTTAACGAGTGCATATAAATATGTCTGAAAAAAAAATACTCTGTGTATTAATTAATATTGATTAAATAACTTAATAATTTTTTAACTTCCGAAGGGTAAGTTATATAATAGTAATCGCAAAAATGTCGAAAGTGAAAATTTTTATATATCTTTACGTTTCAGAGGTTACTGAATTTTGGCATATCTCAGAAAAAATTGATATGTGTGTGTGTGTGTTTAGATACAAACTTTTGTCGATGATTGTAGAAACACGCATCAACCTATTTGAACAAAACAATCGATTCGTACTGATAAAACGTGCTAATTAGTTTTTGGCAAAACGGGTCCAGCCGTTCCAAAGATACGGGGCAAAAAAGCCAAAAATTGTAATTTAGTTCTTGAGAGAACGAAGCGTCCGTTTTAAGTAATTCAAAAAACATTTTATTTGTATTGACTAAACAAAGAACTGTTTTTGGGATGACAGGTCTAGAGTTCTAGCGATTACGGAGAATCAATAAGAAAAAGTAAAAAAATGACATATTTGGCGGTCCAAAATGATCATTAGATATATCCACGTCAAATTATCTGATATTTTCTAGAGATTTTAATAATAAGAACAAATTTAATTTACATTTCTATGGGTTCCGTATCAATGTCTAGCCGTTTCGCTTCGATATTTCGTCTCCAAAACAGATGCGCAGTGCGATTGATTTGAAAAAAAGTTACAAATTTTCAAAAAATTTCAAAATATAAAAAAAAAATTTCAAAAAAGCCATTTTTTTCAAAATTTTCGAAATTCTCAAAAATATATTTTTTTCAGATTTCAAAAAATTTTTAATCTTTTTTAAAAATTTTTTGTTTCGGTACGAGAAGTGCCAGCAATTTGCCTTAAGGCACGATGCCATGCTCCACTAGTTTATTTGTATTAATTTATGAAAACTACTATTTGACTGACTTATAATTGAAAGGGCGGCAATCTGGAGACCGCCCCGGGCGGCAAAAGTTCTAGGTACGCCACTGACTAGTTCTACATTAAAATGAAAAAAAAAAGATATTATTCTTTAACAAACATTACAGATTACTAAAAATACATATACGATTATTAAAAAATCCATACGCTCCGGTGAATGTGTATAATGTAGCTACGTGTAGTTACTATGTTTTTCTATTAAAATATATTTGCGTTCATCATACAAATTGTCTAACATTTTACTTGAAAAAAAAATAAAAGTACAAAATATTCTTTTCAGTATACATCCAAACAAAATGTCAACTTTTGAAAATGTTAAACTGACATCATTTAAAACAATGTGGAAGAATGGCGTTTGTTCCAAAGCTGATGAATTCGATCCGAGTGCTTTTTCGACGATGGACTATAGGCAGTTGTATTTGTTATGCAGAGGAGCGAAATATACTTCATATCAGGCGAGGTAAACTAATAGATTATATGTATTACTGTAATGCCATTGATTAGCATAATCAAATCCCTGTCGGAATGGCCTCTAACATAAACAGGTGCGACGTATCTAGGAATTTGTATTATGATATATTTTATATAAAGGCTAAGTCAGGGTTTTTCAAAGTTGACATTAAATTATCAATATATTATCATGGACGCCCATTTTTATTTTGCCGATCCCGAAATTTTTTCACTGACTTAGGCCTTTCGAAAGATGTTATAGACCCATAGGCAATGCTGGATTTACAGTAGTGCGGTAAATTTTGGAAAGTGAGAGAAAAATCTATACAATATAATTAACTAATTCTTTTTGAACATTTTTTGTTTCAAAAATTATAATTTATACATTATGTATCAAATTAAAATTTTGTATATTATAATTTTGGAAAGTAACGATCAAAAATATTTAATTAATTTAATTAATTGCCTTTTTCGTTCTCTTCCGTATTTTGTCTAACAATAAGTTAAGTTAGACTTTTTGAAGTAAAACTTCTTTAGGCGCGACTAGCGTGTAAATCCATACAAATGCAACGAAAATGCGTTACGACTGATAAGATAAGATAAGAGTCGAGTGCCAATGATTCGTCTTTCGCTCTCGATGATATCATTTTTATACGGGTCGATTGTGATAAGTCGTCGCGTATGTGAATAGAGATTTGTTGTTGTATGCGTATCGGCGTCAACGTTGTATGCGTAACACAGAAATAAGCATAGATAAATAAACATTCTAAAGTTACATCGTAGTGCAAATCTTGATTTAATGAAAAATGCCTGAATCAGAAGAATATTTTACCCTGTTTTCCGTAAATAATTATAATAAAATAAATGCAGCATTTGCGCCATGTATGAAACATAACTTTAAAAATACAAGCAGCCAATGAATGTATGTTAATTTCAATTACATAAAGTTGCGAAAAAAATATTTGTTGAGGCGTTGTTTAACAAAATCTACTGTGTGAACGAATATTACAAAATTTATTAATCAGCAATTACTTCATTTCTCTAATGAAGGTTTATTTTCAAATGCTAATTACAATGACAAACCGATCATGTTATATTTGAAGTATGACTTTAATTAAATTATTGTTTTTAAATATTATACATATTTTTAATGCTATTATAAATATATAATTTATAATTTATCATTATATAAATGTGTATAATGGTTGACACTAATAAATATGTGCATCACGAGTGTTACCATATTACTAATAAACATTATTCAAAATTATTATATGATGTATTTATTTTTACTTAAATGCCATCTTGTACAGTAGCAAGTAAGTTTATCACAATCCCATGTGAACTTTACGCGCACTCTTTTTTTATCGGTTAATCTTCACTCAAAGAGAACTAGAAATACATGTCACAACCGTACCCACAAGAATTGTTACAACCATGCCCAACGCACACCTTTGAGAACAAATCATCATTATAACTAATTGTAAGTACTACTACATTATCTACGCAAAAATTAACTACTAATGGTTAACTTACAGCAAAACAACAAAGCGGTCTATCTGTATGCAAGCACAGATATAATGCACAGATATAATTCATAATGCACTGTCTTGATGTAACAGAACTTTTTTCTTCTTCAAATCGGGCTGTTTTTTTGCGATTTTGCTCTTTAAATTCTCCAATAACGTTATACGGTAGTCAGATTAGTCACTGTTAGTGGTCTGGCATTTCTCAAGATAGTCGATGAAGATTACTTTTTCCAATTCCAAAAATCTGACGCCAAAACTTTGCCAGCTGATTGTTTGACTCCAGAGTGTGATAGTGAAGCCAGGTTACATTCATGGTGACATATCGATGTAAAAACTCGAATTAATTTGCGTCAAATTTATACACGTAGCTTTTGAACGATAGGTGCTAACTGAAAGTTTAAAGCTTGGAACTAACTGAAAATGATACGGGTTTAATACAATTGGCACCTTCTCACAGAAACGGAACCAAATTTTCAGCCTTTATATATAGCCTAAAATTATCCGAAAATGAAACTATATATTTAGATATTTTATATTAGAATAATTTTCTTAATAAATTGGTATTATAAGGAAGCCAAATTATTATGTCACCGGTTTAACTAACCTAGTGCATATAAAATTGAACTAATTTATTTAAATTTTTAGCCAGCTATCCAACCTTCTTGAACAGTTACAAACAATCTACGTTACGTCCCAAGTGTGCATACCAAAAAGGTTCTCTTTAGACCGAATCTATGATGAAACTATCATCAGAACCGCATATTCGGCAAGAATGATGATGGTTCCCAGAGATAATAGCGAAGAATTAGATGAAAGTCTTGCTAGCTACGGATATGATATGGACTATATCGATCCTCAGGGGGGCTCATCACAACTAGACTTCAACAATTACTTATGTTTCAACGGCGAACCGGATTTGCAACGTTTAATGACGGGAAGTGAGTAAGTTTTAGTGTAATATTCGTTACTAATCGAATGTATCAGGTTAAATTGTAGTCTCAGTTAAAATACTGTTTCGAGCTTTGTGTTAATAACTTTCATGGGTAATAATATACTAATCCTAATACAAGTATATCGAATATTATATCGTAAATTATGTAGATTATTGAATATTCTTATTTATATCAAGTTCATTTTCACCGAAAGCAAAAACGATAAGTATTACCCGAATGGCACTCAAGAGTTACTTTGTTTCTTGCTATAATGTTTCCGACTTTTGTTTGGGCAAATATCAACTATGGGACACTCCTCATAATTCTAAACATTCATGTTTTTTTATAATATAACTATTTTTTATAAATCTACAATATTTCAGAATAATCTTAACGATCATGTGCTTTTTCGTCGTACAAAGTTCCATCAAGATCATGAAAAAATTTCATTTTACCAAATCTTATTGCTTATCTTTACCAAAAACTAATAAGTACGATTTTGAGCTGATATCTTTAATCCATTCAGGATATGTTGCGAAAACGAAGACGAAAACTTTGCTTTATCTGCTGATTCTAAAAAATACTTTTCGGCCAACCGTTGCGCAAAACTAGTCAAAGCAAATTTTTAGCGAGTTCATTAAATCGCATTTAAATTTTGAGAAAAAGTCGATCAAAGGTCAAATTTTGGCTGGCATACACATGCACATACTTTTTAAATTTTGATGCCAAACGATTGAGAATGACTTCTGTTGTCGGCGAATACATTAACTTTTTCTTCGGGAAGTTAAAAAAGTGATGATATTATTAATATTTTTCTCAAAAATATCTGTTTAGTGGTTAAATGACATAATCAATAAATATTGAAATTTAGCTACTTAGATTAGAACTTGGTTATTTTCGAAAATAAAGTTTTCACGATAAACTAATCAACGCGGTTTTCAATTGATATTTTTTAACAAACTTATGATAAGTGTAATATTATTTAGAGTGCACCCATTCGTGCTTGTGTGTCCTAAAAACACAACGCATTACTCCAAACTTTAATAATTTTTTATAATTCAAGCTTTTTTTGCTGGAACATAATGTTTTAGGATGTTCGCTTTGACCATGAACTCTGCCGCCATGTTACATGGAAAAATTCATTCCATTATGAAGAAACGGCCTGGCCAATCTTTGCCAAAATCTAATTAGCATAACTTTCAACTGATATCTGTCGAGTCGAGTGATTTTAAAATTTTGAAAATCGGTTCACGATTTTTTGCAAAAATAAGGAGGAAAATTTTCAAACATTTCTGGTAACGTTTCGCAAAACTAATTGAAGCCCTTATTAAATATTATTTAGGTTTTAAATTTTTGAAATCGGTTTAGCCGTTTTTGACCAATCGTCGACAAAGAGTAAAAACTCGGCTTAGATACACACACACACATGCTTTTCCAATTTTGATCTCAAACAGTTCAGAAAAAAATCTTGAACAAAGCGTCGTCAATAAAATATAAAGCAAGTTGGATTTTCGACGAAAACATAGACATCTCATTCGAGGAGATAAATAATTCTTCAAATATGCTGAATTGATATTTACGAGTATAAAATGCCGTTTTTGATGACTTTATGATTTTCTTTTACCTTTTTAATGATAATTTTTATTTGTCTGCATAATTCCTAGTAGGAATTTTCTACCAAACGCCAATTCCCTTTAAAAAACATGGTTAAGAAGCAGTATTTTTTTTCACTTTATTAAAAGATAATTTAAGCTTATATATTTCAGAATATTGGCCTATGATCTACAGCGGTCATTTGACGGTTGATCAAGAAGAGAGGTTATTAAGGTGGGCTTGGGAAGCTTGGAGATTTGCTGTGGGACCTCCAATAAGAACAAAGTATCCAGAGTTTGTAAAAATTCTCAATATCGGCGCTCATAACAATGGTAAACTGGTTAACTATTTTTACCTATTGACACAAAGTTACTTAATATAGAAGTTGATTGATTTTCAATGCAGGCTACTCGGACGTTGGACAAATAGTCAGGATTGAATTGGAAATGGACAATCTGAAAGAAGTGACTTTCAATCTTTTAAATGATATAATGCCGTTTTATAAAATGTTGCACGCATTTGTAAGACATGCACTCCATAGAAAGTATGATATGCCATTTTCAAGGTATATACCGGCACATTTATTAGGTATTTACTATTTGTTATTATTACCGTATTTTTAAAACATTATTTTATTTACTAAATTCCTCTTTAATTCCTAAAATATAAAGTATTTTAAGTAAATTTAAGTAAATTACTTACATTACTTATTAGCAATTATCATCTTTAAAAATCGGTAAATAATGAAGTTTTGATGCTTTTAGGTAATATGTGGTCTCAAAATTGGGAATATTTGCAAGACATTTTAATAGAGAATACTGTGGACTTAGACAAGGCTATCAGAGATAATAAATGGACAGTACTGGATATGGTAAATTGCAACAAAACTGATATTATAGTTATTTTAATTTAATAATAATTAAATTTAATCATTTTAGCCAAACTTTAACATGCTTTTTTATAAAACTATGTTTTAGTTTTTGATCGCTTTTAATATTAATTTTTTGACTGTTTCATACTTCTTTTAATATTGTGAAAAGATCAAAAAGTTGTTAAAAATTTGGCTCTATTTTAAATAGGTCTTATTTTTAAAGTTTCTAATTCTTTCAAGAGTTTGAGAACTACCTCTTTAAAAATATAAATAATTCAAACAATACGCATTATTTTCTTTGCATATATAATTTCAGTTTGGAGTTTTGTATTAGTTTTATAGAGATTTTAATTTTTACCTTTCAGTGATTATATATTAGGTATTACTACTATTTTTTAATTTAAAATTAATATTTTATGACTATTATGAAAAGGTTAATCGTGCTGAAGATTTTTACATATCGCTGGGCCTGGAAAAAATGACTGAAAATTTTTGGAAGTATTCTGTGTTTCAAAAGCAAAACAATTGGACAAAATGCCACGGTACAGCTGCCAATATGTTCGAGAAAGATGATTACCGGTAATTTTATTTGTTAATTAAATTACTAATCTGTTTAGTTTTGAACTATAACCTTTATTTCAGAATTCTTTTGTGTGCCAGTGAATCTTTAGAAGATTTTCTCGTTATTCATCATGAAATGGGCCATATTCAATATTACATGGAATATAAAGATCAACCGCCATTATTTCAGGTAAATTGTTGAAAGAATCAAGTTGTAAATCAATGTTGTATTATTTATTAGATTAGAAAAAATTCATGTTTTCGCCAGAAAGTTTGATTTATTAATTTTGTTTTTTATTTTTTTGTTTTCCCTGCAATGTATTATCCAATATTAGTCCTAAAACCATACTTTTACTTCAGCCGTTTCACTGTAAATCTACAGCATTTAATTTTTTGTAAATTCTTACCCCTGCCTTCTGGAAAAATTTCTTTGCCGTTTTCAATTTGCTCTGAAATATCTTATAGAGTGTTCTTTTATATCTTTGGTCAAATCTTAGGACAATGTGGTCAGCGTATCCGATGCTTAATTATTTTATTATTATTATACTATAAAGTATACAATACATGTTGGGAGATATATGTTAGATTTATTATGGCTATCCATTTAGTTGTTTTATTATTATCACTGTATTCTTTCAGGACGGAACAAATTCTGCATTTCATGAAAGTATAGGCGATGCTATAATGCTTGGTGTAATGACGCCGCAACATCTTCACCGTTTGGGCTTAATAGACGATTCCACATTATATGAAAAAGTTGAATTAGGAAAAGAACAAGCAGAAAAAAATATATTTGTCACTGATATATTTGAAACTAATACATCACTTCCTAAATTATCTTTTGATTTAGTATTGCTACTGAAGCAAGCTTTAAGCAAAATACCGCAGATACCATTTGGTTATATAATAGATACGTATCGTTGGGCATTTTTTGAAGGAAAATTAAATAACTCTAATTATAATAAATATTTCTGGTACTTAACAAAGGAGATTCAAGGAATAGAAGCACCAAGTCAAAGAAATGAAGAATATTTTGATATTGCTTCTAAATTTCACGTTCCTGATAATACACCTTATATTAGGTAAGTAAACAACTTTTTTCAAGATAAAAAAAATGATTTAAAAAGAACTTCTCTAGAAAAAGAAAGTTTTAGATTTTATTAGAGTAGAACCCCGATTAACCGGACTAACTGTTGTTGATGGGCATTCGGATAATCGAAGATCCGGATAATTAAATGTATGAAGAATAATGTTGTTTTATTGAATAATTTATTAAAAATAACAATTACATACATAGATATCAACAAAAATTAATGTTTATTAAGAAATTAACACTTCCCTATTTGTACATACATATTTTCTTCGATTACATTACATACATGTACTAAATTGCAGCATTAATCATGCTAAAATTTGAATTGTGTATATGTACATACTGTATGTACATACATATAAATTGGTTGCGGTTGGTAGTCCGGATAATTGCGAATCCGTATAACCGAGGTTCGGATAATCAAGTTTCAAGTCATTCTGTATAGTTTGACATCAAAAGTGGAAAAATTTTGTATGTATGTTATGCGAGCCAGAATTTTACATTTCGTTGTCGTTTTTTTCAAAAATGGCTGCACGGATCTCAAAAGTTTTAAAATTTAACACGTGATCAAACTAGATAATGTTATTTTTCTAGGAATAACCGATAAGAGTAAAATTTTCTATTTTTTTTCAAAAATTCTCCTACCAATTTTGTTGCAAACGGCGCTTACGCGATTTGGTATTTTGTCTATGAAACATCTACGCAGCGCGATTGCTTTAAAAAAAAGGTCAAAATTGCTTTAAAAAAAGCATTTTCAAAAAAAAAAAATATCACAAAAGTCAAAATTTGAATTTTTTGAAAGTTCCACAAATTTGCTCAAAGGCACAATGCTATGCACCACTAGTTGTTAAATTGAAATCAAAAATAAATTATTATTACAGATACTTCTTGAGTAGTTTTCTTCAAGCTCAGATATTTAAAGGTCTTTGCAGTACTACGGTATTTGGTCGTCCAACACACAATAAATTGCCTATGCCCTTGCATCGTTGCGATATTTATGGATCAAAAAAAGCTGGGAAAAAATTAAGGTAAGAAAATTTATATTTTACTAGTCTGGTCAATGTGATGCTTGTTTTCGACTAATTGTAAGAAATATTTAATCAAAACATATAAAACTGCTTCATTTATATTAAAACTGTAGCCAATTACCGTTACCGTTACCGTTAGCCAATTGCCATTATCATGTTTTTATATATAAATTTTGTAATATTTTAATTGTTGTTAATAATATTAAGTATGGCCCATTTTCTATACAACTTGTAAATTTTATTCTCTCATAATATAATATCTTAAATATTTTAGAGAGATGTTATCCTTGGGATCAAGCGTACATTGGAGTGAAGCATTAAATATGGTTGCAAAGACAAATAAGTTGTCGGCTCAGCCTCTTCTTGAATATTTTGATCCCATTATAAAATGGTTAAAAATATATCTTCACGATAATAATATTCCCCTAGATTGGTAGTAACTAAGTGATCAATGATATGGTACTGATATTACAACTAAATTATTATATTAATAATAATAAAACAATAATTGATTATTTTTATTTCATATGGAATAAAGATTTGTTTATATTTTTAATTGAGTCAATATATCATCATATATTTGTGTTATAAAACAGTATGAAATAAACTGTGTTTAGATCAATAGTTAATATTTTATTGAATATATTTATTATTTAAAAACATTATTTCATTCATAAATTCTCACATTACAATATTTTTTTTCGACCATTTTGTGACTGATCAAGTGTTAGATCAATTACTAATTTTCTTTTTAACAGTGTAAGGCAGTCCAAAGATTTTTTTTATATTATTTTTTTATTTTAATAATTCTTACAACTGTCCCGAAACGGATAACAAGTAAAATAGTTGACATAAAACTGAAGGCGTTGGCAAAATACAAATCAACAGACCAATTGCTATGGCACTGCAGTGATTTGTCGAAGGTCTTATCTATTGTTGATTAATGAACAAAAAAATTTCTTTTCAATCTGGCCCTGGTTGTTCTGAAGCTTTCTGACGAGCAAGTTTGGGTGATCAATGCAATTATTTTTATCCTTAACTATGCTAGTGCCTGTGTCTTTGTGTATGAACCAATTTGGAACATACATCCAAAGAATTTTATTATCATTTTCTGCAAATTTTTTAATATATCGCATATTCGCAATCAACTCTGTTACTTGATATTGCAAAAATGATTGTAACATAAAAATAATTAAATTATCATAAATATAATTAAATTATTTCATTAACTAAAAACCAACATTATTAAAACTGTTGAGCATAACGTGGTGTTAGGTATTCGATACAAATTGGGAAACATTATTCAGAACACATTGGTAATTTTCGCAGAGGAAGCTGGTAAGTGGGACCAGTTCGTTTATTAATATGTACTACGTTTGTCCAAAAAAATAAAAGCCGATTCCGCAAAGCGTCTTTGTGAAACTTTCGACTCATGATAAAGCACTTTTGGGGGCGTCCATTAATCACGTGAGGTTTTTATGGGGAGGGGGGGTTTGACAAAAAATCATGAAATATCACGTGGGGGAGGGAGGGTATAGTAAGATATCACGTGTATTTATTTTTGAACTGATTTTTTAAAAAATATTCAAACATTTTTAAAAAAAATTCTAAAAAATTAGTTTTTTCACGTAATTAACAATACACGTGATGTTTGGTGGGGGAGGGGGGGTAATTTTGATTATCACCATGTATCACCAAGGGAGAGGGATGTCCAAAAATCTTTAAAAACTAGCTCACGTGATTAATGGACACCCTCTTTGCGTCATAAAAATTGAACGTATGGTTCTTTAGTTTTAAATGTTCTGTGATCATCGTTTGCTCTTGATTTTTGATTTTTGAGTTATTTGTTGTTCTCTATATTTTAAAAACTGTGTATTGATTAGTTCTGCACTAAAATATTTCTATGCATTTGACGGCTATGAATCAATTACATTGATTGGTTCATAAATTTTCCAAATATGGTTTTTGAAAAAATTGACAAAGTGATAGATATTATTTAGTATTTGGTATATTCAGCATTGATTATACTTGTTTATTTATGGCATTGATTCACTGTCAAATCATAAATTTAAAATGAAAGAGAAAGTATTAATTAAACACAAATGAGAAACCATAGGTTCCGTGGTGTAGCGGTTATCACATCTGCTTTACACGCAGAAGGCCGCCGGTTCGATCCCGGCCGGAATCATATTTTTACCAATTTGGCACTCAAAGATTTTTTCAATTTTTTACAGATATGATGAATAATCCTTGTCGACGATGAGTGGATCATTTAGGCGTGGTGTTTGTTATGCATTAATACTGGAATCAGAATGCATTTACTAGATAGATAAAAACTAGTGGGGCGCATGGCATCGTGCCTTAAGGCAAATTGCTGAAACTTCCCGTACCAAAAATTATTATTTTTTTCAAAGATTAACATTTTTGAAAAAAAATTACTCTGAAAAATTAGATTTTTGAGAAACTATAAATTTTTGACAAAAATTTACTTTTTTTTGAAAAAAAAAAGACTTTTTGGAGAAAAGTGTATTTTAAAATATTTTGGAAAATCTGAACTTCATTTTAAAGCAATCGTATTGCTTTATCTGCATAGAGACGAAATATCGAAGCGCGTAAGCGCCGTGTCGCCGTCTAACGGATGAACATTGGTACGGAACCCATAGGAATGTAAACAAAATTTATACTTATTGTTAACATCTCTATAAAATATCTGATAATTTGATGTGCATATGTCTAATGATCATTTTTGACCGGCAGATGGTATTTTTTTTTACTTTTTTTTACTAGATCTCCGAAGTTGCTAGACCTGCCTTTATGAAAATTTGATAAGTTCTTCATTGTGTTATTACAAGTAAAATGTTTTAATTATTCAAATCGGACGCTCCGTTCTCTTAAAAACTAAGTTTTCGTTTTTGGCACTTTTGCCCCATATCTTCGGAACGGCTAGACCTGCCTTCCCCAAAAACTAATCAGCATGTCTCCTTATCAATACAAATCGAATGTTTTTTGAATTATTCAAATCGCTTCATCCGTGTTCCCGAAATCGTCGACGAAAATTTGTATCCGAACACACATACACACACGCACTCACACATACACACACATGCATCCATTTTTTCTAAGGTATGCCAAAATATTCAGAAACGTCTGAAACGATTACTATAACTTACCCTACTTGAAATTAATTACCCTACGGGAAGTTAAATATTAACAATGATTTCAAAAGAAGTTTTTTCATTCTTTATGAAACGAGATAGGCGTAAATGGCATCTCATAAAACTCAATATTAATTTAAACTCTCCTCGAGTTTAGTTCAGAATAAAATTTAGTTTGTAGAAAATTTATAGGGGCTTAAAAATACATTTGCGAATTATTAACTTTTTCCGCAGGGTATTTATAGTAATAGGCCGAAAATCGAAAATAAAAATTTTTGCATTTCTCTAGGTTTTGAAGGTTTCTGAACATTTTGGCATACCTCAGAAAAAATGGATGTGTGTGTGTATGTATGTATGTATGGATGGATACAATTTTTCGGTCACGTTGTCGGGCGCACGGATCAACCGATTTAAATGGTTCAAAAAACATTCGATTTCTATTGATAGGGAGATGTGCTGATTAGTTTTTGGCAAAGGCAGTTTCAGCAGTTTTGGAGATAAAGAGCAAAGAGTGCAGAAAATAGAAATCGAGTTTATGAGAGAACGGAGCATTCGATTTGAATGATCTAAAAAACATTCAATTAGTAATGATTGGAAAAAGTGTTTATTAGTTTTTGGCAAAGGCAGGCCTAGCCATTTCGAATATACTTAGCTAAATGTGTAAAAAGGGCAGTTTTTGAGAGAACTAAGCGTCAGATTTAAATGATTCAAAGAACTTTCTGTTTGTCTTAACAAAATGATTGATTTTGAAGAAAAAAATTTTAACGCCAGGTGCTTTTGCAGATTTTGCTCTTCGGATTTCTTTTGTAATTTCTGGGCAGATAGATTACTAGACAAGTAGATAAGTAGATATATTGATTAAATCGATTATTTACACATATCGGTTTTATGCAATTCAATTTCATGCAACATGCCACTTGCAACTAGATATACATGCACTTTTTTTTATTGTTTCTACAGCAATCAGAACTCTTTCTAACTTATTATTGTTCTATAGCTGTTTTTGTGTATGACTTATGATCTAAGGCAATAAGGATATGAGAAGCAACCCATCGGTTATCTTTCTCCTATGTGTGGGGGTTTTTTATTAGCTCTTATGTCTAATAGTGTGGGGGTTTTATTGGCTCTTATGTCTAATGGTGTGGGGGTTTTATTAGCTCTTATGTCTAATAGTGTGATATACATGCACTTGATTTGATTTTCAAGTAATAGACGAAACGGTTATGAACGATACGTTAACGAGGAAAAAACGGCTGCAAAAAAACGATCGTTAATTCAAGTTCAAAGTGACAGTTTTATTGGCGTTAACCGCTGTCACTTCTACCTATACCATAAATTAAAGATTTATTTTTGAGAGGAGAATTCTTTAATTTAAATTAAGAAACATTGAAAACCTCTAGCTTAAGGCACGTTTGCAGTTGTGAAATTTGTGTAATGTGGAATTTTTCTGACGAAATGAAATTACAAGTCGAAAATTTAAAGAAAATTAACATCGAACATTTTGAAGATAAAAATCAAAATTATGAAAGAGAAAAGTGGCTTAAACTAATACAATGTATGCAAACTCGATCAACGAATTTAATCAGAACACGACCGAAACTAGTAAATGTAATTATATACAATGTATATTAGAACTTACGTTATATTATTATTTTAACGAAAACTTTACAAGTTTGTTTCAGGAAAATACTATTAGATACTACAATCATGCAGTTCAAAATCAAATGCAAGTTAAATATACTGAGGAAATTAATGTACTGAAAAATGAACCTCAAATAGAACCAATTGAAACATTGAAAAGTCCAGAAAGTTTACTGGACTCCCCAAATACTGATTTAAGAATGAGCGAAGATATTGAAAAAGAACATTTAAAATTACAAACTTTCACTGAATGTTTGGACTCGGGAAAAGCTTTATCTGAAGATCAATTATATGAAGTGTTCAGAATTGCTGTAAATTATAATATTGACATAAATCATATAATGGAAAAAATAAATGAAGTACAAAAATCGGAAAATATAAATATATTGTATAAAATATTTGCATCAGTTCAGCCAAATAATTCAATGGTTAAAAGCTTCTTAAATTCTATCATTAAGCCAAGGGTAAGTTTGTTATTATAATTACTTATTCTTATATATTTTCATTTATTTATTCATTTAATGGCCATGGTAACAATTTAACAGATATTATTCTTATAGTGTTGAAATTATAAACTTAAAGTTAACAAATGAGGAAATTTAGAGTATTTTAAAATTCATATACTTTTCTTAAATTTTTTTAACATAAAGAAAGGTGCGCATAAGATTCACACGGGGTTAAGGAAAAACTTATTTGCTACTGTACAAGATGGCATTTAATTAAAAATAAATACATCATATAACAATTTTGAATAATGTTTATTAGTAATATGGTATCACTTGTGATGCACATATTTATTAATGTCAACCATTATTCACATTTATATAATGATAAATTATAAATTATATATTTATAATAGCATTAAAAATATGTATAATAATTAAAAACAATAATGTAATTAAAGTCATACTTCAAATATGACATGATCGGTTTGTCATTGTAATTAGCATTTAGAAATGAACCTTTATTAGAGAAATGAAGTAATTGCTGATTAATAAATTCTATAATATTCGTTTACACAGTGAATTATGTTGAACAACGCCTATACAAATATTGTTTTTGCAACTTCACTCTTCATGTAATTGTGTTTGAAGAATTTCATGTAATTAAAATTAACATACATTCATTGACTGTTTGTATTATTTTTACTTTTTCGCTTGCGATATAATCTCATTCTTTGAACAGCTGTAATATCTGTCTTGCCTAAAAGATATTTTCCATTTTAATAACTTCAAAGTTTTATAGAAACTACGAATAATTTAGAGATAATTTCTAATCAATAATCTTACGTTTAGTACATGGCACAAATGTTTAATTTGTTTTATAATTTTCAAAGAACAGGGTAAAATATTCTTCCGATTCAGGCATTTTTCATTAAATAAAGATTTGTACTATGACGTAACTTTAAAATGTTTAAAATTCATGCCGATTTCCTTGTTGATATCGGTACGCATAAAACGTTGATGCCAATACGCATACAACGACAGATTCACATACACGACGACTAATCACAATCGACCCGTATAGAAATGATTTCATCGAAAGCGAACGTACAGTTTGGGCTTAACGCTATTTCCGTTGCATTTGTACGGATTTACATCCTAGTATCGCCTAAAGAAGTTTTACTTAAAAAAAAAAACTACACAAAACTATAAGAATACGCAACAAAATTTACAAAAATAGAGTAAAACCATAAAACACTATTTATTGGTTTTGATGATTTTATTATTGGTTCTTTTGTTGGTATTTACTTTGAATATGTTTATATGCAACTGAAACATATAATTCCAAAGAAAATGTATACCTTGAATTAAATATGGAATATATTAATGTAAATGTATTTGTTACTCACGGGTCTACTTTGTCAAAATTATTGTAAAAACAATATTTTGATTCTGATTTATAATATAAATAAGAACTTTATTGAATATGTTTATATTTACATTGCAGATATTATTCAATGAGAAATCAAGATGTTTAGATCAGTGTTTAATTTCATGCTTAAAAGATTTCGCTGAAGAGGCTACCGATTTGATTATATTGCCCATTCTCTTAGATTTAGATGCTAAAAGGAAGTCCACATTGTTGACAATAAACAATTGTGTTTCTGATATTGGAAAAAACTATATTTTAAGGTAGATATATTGGATTATAAATTAAATAGATAGAAGAATAATATGCAACATGTTGCTTAAAAGTTTTTGTGCTTCTTGCTTCAGTTCCTTGAACTACAGTCTGAAAATATAGCATAATATGATATATTAAGAATTTTTTTTTTTTATTGTTGAATTTAATTGTAAAATGCATTTTCTGTTTCAGTGGATTTGCTGTTCATAACATTCTAACGAAGGAACAAATACCAATTATTGAGAAATTAATTACAGTTCATATGGACACTGACCTAATAACAAAAGTAATCCATTTAATACATAAATTCAAGGATATTTTTTCAAATTTGACATCATTCGGTGGGTTCCTTGTGACTTTTACAAAAGCAGTTATTTCGAAGATTAAATCAAAAGACAAAGAAATATTAGTAGAAGTCATAAAAAGCAATGCATCAATTCATAAAAGAACTCTAATGGTAATAATGAAAATAAATGAATAATGTAAGAATTTATGGTTTTATTATAACACATTAATGTAAATAATGAGAACTTCTTGTATAACTTATCGCCAAGAATTGCATAAAATGATACATTTTATGTAATTGGCCCCAACCTGGTATTTAAACAATTTATTTGCCATTTCAGAGGGCTTTTGAACAAAAAATGATTTACCATTTTTTACTTCTTAGCTTATTATTTGACAACATATTATTGAAAATATGAGAAGTGGTTCCATTTTAAAACTCACTTTTTAGTCAGAACCATTGAAAAAAGGTTTATATGGTCGTATTTACGGTAGTCTGAACAATATATATAATACGTCATATTATTGAACAATGAATATTGAATAATTTGTTTCTGCTTGAAATAGTTGAAAAATTTGCAATTGTTTGGACTAATTTTTATTTTGCCTAATTTTTATGCCATGATCATAAAAACGAAATACGGAAATATGCAGATATTTTTTCCTAATGTTTCCTATTAAATAATTTTGTTGTATAACTAGCAATTGTATAATTATGTTATTTATGAAAAATATAATGGTTTTCTATAATACTTTTTTATTTCTTTTAAAGTGAGATTATTACAGCTTCTGTATAAAAATTATTATTTATATTAATCATAACTATTTTATTATTTATAAATTTATTATAAAACATGCGTTACCATCGTACATTGAAACCATCGAAATATTATTAAGTACCCGTAATAATCGCAAAAAAACGAAAATGAAAATTTTTGCATATCTACGTTTGAGAGGTTTCTGAACATTTCGGCATTCTTTACAAAAAATGTATGTATGTGTCGACGATGTCGAGAAAACGAATCAACAGATATGAATGATTCAAAAATCTTCGATTCCTAATGATACGGGGCAAAAAGTGCCAAAAATGGTAAATCAGTTTTTGAGAGAAACCATTTTACTTGTATTGATGAAATGAAGAATTAAAGAAATTTCTGTGAAGACAGGTCTAGAGGTTTCGGAGATCTAATGAAAAAGTGAAAGAAAATGCTTTTTGGCGATCAAAAATGATTATTACACGTCAATTATCAGATATTTTGTAGAGATTTTTATAATAAGTATGAGTTTTGTTTACATTTCTATGGTTTCCGTACCAAGATTTATAATGTTACGCGCATCGATATTTCGTCTCTAAAACATCTACGCAGCGCGATTGCTTTGAATAAATATTCAAAATTTCTAAAAAAAAATTCAATATAATAAAAATATATTTCAATTTTTTCAATCAAGTTATTTTTAGTAAAAGTATGTTTTCATAAAAAATCCGATTCGTCAATTTTATGTTTTCTCGACGTTTCAAGCCATTCTGAATCGAATGGGACCAAATTTGGAAAAAGTATGTGTGTGTGTGCGAGCGTGCGTGCGCGTGAACAGATTTTTTGCTTTTTGATTTTTGATTTTCTCAAAAACGACTGGACCAATTTCAAAAATTTAAAAGCCATTCGATGTATCTCGATGAGGACTAGCGTTTATCAATTTTGCGCGTCGATCAGCCAAGCCGTTTCTTTGTAAATAGCAAAAAAGTGAAAAAAAATGTCCACGTTTTAGCCCGCAATTCTGAATCGATTTTGAACATTCAAAAACCGTTCGATAGATACATATTGGTTGGGAATCGTGCTGATTACTTTTTGATAAAGATTCGCTGGCACAATTTCTTGTAATTAACTGTTGAAGTTTTATTTCTCGACCATTTTTATGATTTTTCTGTTTGACATCTATTGTCATGGTCTTCTAGATCATACTAAAATATTACGACCCTACGACAAGTTGTCGAATTTTTGTGCGACAATCAGCCGAACCGTTTCTTTGTAATTTGGAAAAAAGTGTTAAACTTTTCTTTCACATTTTAACCCATACTACCGAATCTATTTTAAAAAATCAAAAACTGTTCGAAAGATATTGTAGTTGGGAATGATTTTGATTAGTTTTAGGTGAAAATCTACCGAGCCGTTTTCTTGTAATTAACTGTTGGAAAAAAAATTAAGCCGATTTTTTAACTTCCCGTAGGGTAAGTTATAGTAATCGCAAAAAAATCGAAAATGAAAATTTTTATATATCTTTACGTTTCAAAGGTTTCTGAACATTTTGGCATACCTTAGAAAAAATGGATGTATGTGTGTGTGTGTGTGTGTATGTGTGTGTGTATGTGTATGTGTGTGTGTGTGTGTATGTATGTATGTGTGTGTATGTATGTGCGGATACAAATTTTCGTCGACGATTTCGGGAACACGGATCAACCGATTAGAATAATTCAAAAAAACATTCGATTCGTATTGATAAGGAGACGTGGTGATTAGTTTTTGGCAAAGGCAGGTCTAGCCGTTCCGAAGATATGGGGCAAAAAGTGCCGAAAACGGTAACTCAGTTTTTAAGAGAACGGTGCGTCCGATTTAAATAATTCAAAAAACATTTCACTTGTATTGACAAGATGAAGAATCGATAAAATTTTCATAAAGGTAGGTCTAGCGGTTTCGGAGATATGGAGGAAAAAGTAAAAAAAAATAGCCATTTGGCGGTCAAAAATGATCATTAGACATATGCTCATCAAATTATCAGATATTTTATAGAGATTTTAATAATAAGTATACATTTTGTTAACATTCCTATGGGTTCCGTACAAATGCTTATGCGTTAGACAGCGACGCGGCGCTTACGCGCTTTATATTTTGTCCCTATGCAGTTAAATCAGTACGATTGCTTTGAAAAAAAAGTTCAGATCTCCCACAATATGTCAAAATAAAGAAAAAAAAAATTTTTTTCAAAAAAAAAAAATTAAAAAAAATTTATTTTTTTTCAAAAAAAAATTTTTTTTTTTTTTTTTAATTTTTTTTTTCAAAAAAAAGTAATTTTTTGTCCATATATATAGTTTCTCAAAAATCTTATTTTTTCAAAGTACATTTTTTTCAAAAATGTTAATCGTTTTTAAAAAATTAGTAATTTTTGGTACGGGAAGTTTCAGCAATTTGCCTTAAGGCACGATGCCTTAATTGCCTTAAGACAGAATTCCACTTACAGCTAGTTATGATTTTTTTTGGCGATATATATATATCATGGTCTTATAGAACTTAATGAAATATTACGGCTTCACGACAAGTAGTTTAATTTTAAAAATTCATCAAAGTTTGAGAAAATTAGTAGTTTTTCTGACGTTTGTTAAAATTAAAATTAGACGATTTACTTGGTTTAACGATAGAGTACTTGGTCTTAATGAATATACTAAACCATTAACGTCGTACGAAAACTGGTTCAATTATAAAAATTGTTGATTTGTGAAAATTTGCTTTTATAGAATACTCAGAATTAACGTGTTCGTTTCCTTTCAATTATGTGTAATAAATCTACTCGGAATACTTCTAATCACTTATAAATTAATTTATTTTTTATTGATTAAGTCGATTATTTACACATATCGAGAAGTTCATGTAACTTGCCTCAAGGCAAAATACCAATATCAACTAGTTTCTAAATATTTCAAAATACTCAAAAATCTTATCGTTTTAAAGATTTCGAATTTAATTCAATTCAATTACGGTACGGAAAGTCCTGCAATTTGCCTTAAGGTACGATGTCATATGGATGCCATGATGAATGGATTTATTTATATATTTATTTTATTTATAACTTTATAACTCTTCTTTTATCTATGATTGGAACCATCCACCAGTTTACAAAAGAAGCACTAGAGGGTACTAGTGTGCATTTATTGCGTTTCATGCGCGCATGTGCTCGAGTTCTTTGAATCCTCGAACTGTCTCCGAGATGTGACGTCACAATAATAACATAACCACGTTTTATCAATATGAGATCTTTTGTATAAACATTTATATCTGAAAGCTATTACAATTCGAATAATCTTTATATCCTTTGTTACAAAGACAATATACATAGAACAATTATATAAAATAATCTATTTTTACAAATGTGATACATAATAATGAAGCTTTTTAAGCTTATTGTTCATACCAGAGGGTTTAATCGTGAGTGAACGCAATTTTCCTCAATAGATACATTAGTTAATAAAAAAATACTTATCTAAATAACGATACATTTTTTTCAGCTGCTGATATCCTTGTTAATCCTAAAGATTACCCTGGAATTAAAGAAGGAGATGTTGTTGAAATTTATCATCCTGAAGATGAATTTTCTCGATTGCTACTTCAAATTACCTGCTTCAAAGAGGATTTGCAAGGACGTGGGAATGGTAAATATCAAAATATTCAAGTATCGATAAAAGCTATTTAGTAATCAACAAATCAATTTATTTTACACTTTTTACTCTAATATTTGATTAATTCTGAATTATAGTCAAAAGATCATCAAAAGTCATTTGATTATAGTCAAAAGTATAGAATTAAGTCTGAATTATAGTCAAACGATTTGGCCTGATACATCATTTGATCCATTTATCTAATATTTTTATATTACTTTCCTTATAAGTTTGTTTTGTCTTCCAGAAACCATCAGTGTTGAGCAAAGTATTGCGCAGTTATTTATGTTGCGCACATATGGTGATATTTACATGAGGGTAGTTCAACCCTCAGAAGTAGTTTTAGATTCTGTAGAAATAACATTTAAAGATCAGTACATGGGACGATCCGAGATGTGGAGGTTAAAAAATTTTTTGGTGAATGAAATATTTTATGCATTGATCTAAAAGTTAGATATTACATTTAATATATATATATTTTTTATTTGTAGACGAATACATGTGTGTATATGAATAAAAAAATTGAATATTGCAATAGTTCAATTCGGTGTCAAGTAAGTATTCAGTATCTAATATTAAACTGCATTTTGTATTAAATAATGCTAAAATTTTTGCTGTTCAGATTAAATTATTGTTACTAGATGTTTGAAATGTCCAACTATTTAGCCCATTCGAGACCGATTGCACATCGTGTGTGCAATTGCTTTCCAAGGCTATAAGACCGGTTGCACACCGTGTGTGCAATATTAATAATGAACAATTATCAGTTATTCTGAGTAAAATAGTCGTGAAATAAGATTTTTTTTAAATTAATAATATCTGTAAAGTATAGAAAAACTAAATTTGGCATTGGTTTTAATGTATAACTAATGTATAATTATTTTAAGATCAGTGTAGTGTTTCCTAAAAATGTATTTATAAATTGTGTTTTATTTTTCATCGCTGAGTCACTTTATTACCTTTTGACAGTTTTCTAAAAAATTATTTCTTGTTTATATTATTTTCTTCATTATTCAACTTATTTTTTTGACTTTTTACTATTTCTTAAAAATGTCTTTGCATTATATTCTGTTCTTCTTAATTGAGAGCAACATAACGAATTTATATTATCTAATTTTTTTTAAAATAAACGTTCTTTAATTCTAATGATATATTTTTATTTTACCTTACATTGCAATACACTCGTAATAAAAATTTTCTGAGGAGCGAGTTGCACGCACGGTGTGCAAACATTTTATCTATGCAAATTTGCTTACGAATTGGGTGATTTTTGTAGTAAATAAGTTTTTTTTTTTTATTAAAAATGAATAATGTAAACAAAAAAATTTTTTGCTCCTGGGGGCCGCGTTCGAAAAAAATTGCGTCTCGAATGAGTTAAACTGAGCTTAGCATTTTATTAAACTAAATAATAACATTTTATTAGACTCAACATGCTATATTTTTCATTGTTTAAATTATTTTAACTAAATGTTTGAAATGTAAAATGTCCAACTCTTTCAACTGATATGTACATTTTATTAAACTTAAATGGATTATTATTATAATTATAATTTTTAAGGTATATGAGATGTGGGGTCAAGGCGAGAGAGTTGCCTGTGGTGTTATTGGAGAAGAGACTAAAGTTGTTTTTCGATCTTCGACTTCTATGGTTTACCTTTTTATTCAAATGTCATCAGAAATGTGGGATTTTGATATTCACGGAGATTTATATTTTGAGAAGGCAATTAATGGATTTCTTGCTGATTTGTTTATGAAATGGAAAGTGAGTTTGATTTAAATCTCAAAAAAATGTTTATTATTTATTTGCATAAAACAGAAATAGTTATTTCATGATGGTTTGATTTTAGAAATTAGGCAGCAATCATGAGGTTACAATAGTGTTATTTTCAAGATCATTTTATGCCGCTGAAAGCCTTGAAGAATTTCCTCAGCATATGAGAGAATGTCTTCAAATTGATTATAGAGGAAGATTTTATGAAGATTTTTACAGGTATTTGTAATTCTTTTTCTAATTTATTATATTTTCTGCAAGCATTACATCTAGTCATCTTAATACATGTTGTTAGAGTGGCAGTTCAAAATGAACGTTATGATGACTGGAGCGGAATTTTAGTGCAGTTGAGAAAGTTATTTACAAGTTACCAGCAAATAATATTGAATTACCATGAAAAACCAGGTGTACGTATTCCACAAGCTATAAATTCAACAGCAGCTCAAGGAAACTTTTTGGAAGTGCTCAATATGTCTCTTAACGGTAAATAATGCATTATAATTATATATATATATATATATATATATATATATATATATATATAATATATGTATATATGAGTAGTATGTACATATGAGCATATACAGCAGCAACAATTAGTTTTTTTTGAAAATCCTAAAAAAAAACAATTTAAAGTTAAAAATGAATTTTTGGATAACAAGCATAGTATATTATCAGATTTTTGTACAGGCTTTAATTAGTTATATTACATTTTTTGCGAACAATAAATAAGACAATCTTGACAATAAATAAGAATTTTACTAATATTAGATTTGTATTGAAAGGTTATAAAATTTACTTAGTGCAAACTATCTGTTCAATTTATTGAGCAATCTCTGATAATTTCAAAGTACAGGGGAAACTCGTTTATCCGGTTTTTTGGAAGCATTTAAGCCACTGGGAGCAATAAAATTCGAAAATGTCTATATTAAGGACCACTCTAATGTATATACATAAAGTTAGTGTTAATTTCTCAATAAATACTGATTTTCATTAAGATCTATGTACATATTTGTTATTTCTAATAAACACAACATTATTCTTCATACATTAGATTATCCGGTATTTCGATTATTTACACGCCTATCGTCAATAATTAGTCCTGTTAATCGAGTTTCTACTGTAATGTGGTAATAAGATAGTGTCGATATTTTTTATCTCATTTATATACTTTGTCACGTTTAAGATAGTAATCTATATTAAATTATCTGAATAGATGTTTATTTGTGCAGTTTTTGAAAAGCATTATTTGGATCGCAGTTTTGATCGTACTGGACAATTGTCTGTTGTAATAACTCCAGGAGTTGGTGTTTTTGAAGTTGACAGAGAACTCACAAATGTTACAAAGCAAAGAATTATTGACAATGGCGTAGGTAGTGACTTAGTTTGCGTTGGCGAACAACCATTACATGCCGTACCACTTTTAAAAGTAAGAAAACTTACGGAATTTTTAGATTTTTAATATTATCTATAAAGTGTTTAAATGTTTTCAGTTTCATAATAAAGATGGAGCAGTAAGTTCTATAAGTGATGACTATTCAATGCCTCATTGGATTAATCTTTCATTTTATTCAACAAACAAAAAAGTAGCTTATTCGACGTTTATTCCCAGAATTAAGTTACCTCCGAAAAAATCATCTAATGACTTTTTTAGTGATTGGGTATGTAGTTGTTTGTACATTAGTTTTTATGTTTATATTTTATATTTATATGCAATCATTTTTTATTAGATTGTTCCTCTCAACGGTTGTAAATCTAAGCTTCTTCCGGATACTAAATACATGCATAACTCGTTGTTTGATTATGATGCTTATGATTCGATAGTTTTTCAACTGCCAGCTACTCACGGCACATGGTATATTTTTTTAAATTATTTATATGTTTATTACATAAAGTGATTTATATATGATCTGGGTCATTTATTCTACTGAATGAGAAACATGCTTTAATATATTTCTTTTGAGAATATCTTACTACTATACAGTTGTGCCCCGACATACGAGTATAATTTGTTTCCTAACCATGCTTGTATGTCGAATTTTTATCATATAAATACATTGAAATCCAGTTAATTAGTTCCAGCACTGTGATAACTTTTTTCAATATTAAAAATAAATTTACAATATATTAATTTAATTATTATTTTCTCCTTCCTAGATAAATTTAGAAAATGGCAAGGCGTGTTTTGTTGAACAACTCTGATGTTCGAATTGTCGTATTTTTCTGGGGTGATTTTTAACCACAAACTTTTAGAATTCAAAAAGCTGCTTATAAATCATTGTAAGGATCTTAGCTGGAGTTATTCCCTTTAGCAATTTCTTCTGCTTAAACGTAGTATATATCTCTGATGTGTTACACACGTACATCCTCGCCATCCTCATATTTTTCAATAGACCCATGGGTATAAAAGTAAATAATATTTTGTAGTATATAAAAATTACGATATATTAGCGTGGGTAAATTGTTACTATATCATTGATGCAATTAATATATAATTGAAATGACTAACTATAAAATAATTTATTATCATCAAATAGCCAAAATATTTCTATGGTAGAAAAATCATTCTTATAACTGACGAAACTTTTTATATTTTTATTTTGCCATTAATATTTTTCTGGAAAAACTTACTCGCTCAAAGCTCGTTTCTCGAATTTTGTGTGTGGAAGTAACAAATCGTACCTTTGGCGTCTCGTATCTCGAAACGCTCGTAAGTCGGGGTATCACTATTAATTGTTATGCTGTTTTCTGTTTGCATGACAATTATATTTATTTATAGTTGGAATTTCTGTTATTAAAAGTTATCTTATATTTCAGTTTGCAACGAGAACCGCGAATCAAGAAAACTTCTTTAGCTGGTTTAGAAAACAAACAAATATCTCTCAGGCAAATGCAAAGAAAAATGTCAGATCCTGATATACACCATGGATTACATAATAATTTTAATTATTCAAGCGTGGCTCAACGCCGAACAAATAACTCTCCCTATCGACCTCCAGAACCTTTACTAGGGCCGTTAATTCGGGCTGGGCGAGCGCTTATAAATCCTTTTGATCCTTCCCATGTTACTATCAAGTTGACTTCAAATAGAAGAAGATGGACTCATATTTTTCCTAAAGGGCCCACAGGTGTTCTTATTCAGCAACATCATGATACCAATGACAAAAGTCTTGCCGAAATGGAGCAACAACATATATACATGATGGAAATTGATAAACATAGATCAGATACAACTAATGTTTTTAGTGATTGTAAGTACCTACTTTCTTTTTTTTTAGATATTTTGTTTACATTTCTTGTAACATAACAACTTTTCGTTTGGCCGACGCCGGTCCGATTCTAAACAAAAATGTGGTTTGTGGTAAATGTTGCTGACCCACTGCCGACAGCAAATTTGGCGTCGGCCTCAACGTGTTAATATAAAAAAAAAAAAATGTATATAAGATTAACGTAAGCAGATAAATGGCACTTGTTATTTGTGTACAATTCTATTTTGAGATTGGTCAAGCCTGATTTGATAGCATACAAAGAAAAACAAAACTACGCGTAAGTGGCATTTTTCTTTACATCAAGTTTTACAAACTTCTTTACAACTTCCTGATATGTAGAACTAATTGACTTATCGACACAAGATATTTTGAAGTTTTTACAGGGCTCATTATTTCAAAGTTTAGAATTTTTAAAATTAAACTACTTGTCGTCGGCTCATGATATTTTAGTATGTTCTTCAAGATTGTCGTCTCTATCCTCATATAAAATTTTATAGGCGATGTTTTACAAATACCAATCAATTTTGATTCTACGAAATCGATTAAAGATTTTTGGCGAAAACGTTGTTAAAAAATTTTTCACTCGTCTACGAATTTTATAATACTAGACTAATTGTTTTATGGATATTTACATATTTAAAATTTGTACGTATCACGTTATAAAATAAAGATTTGTGATTACGACCATTAGAGATTAAATTTTATATTCTAGTTAGAAGAAAACTAGTGCCTTCTCATACTATAGCAGGAGCTAATATGTCAGATGTACCCAGTAGAAGTTTAACATTACTTTGGGGTGCAACTGGTGAACAAGAATGGACACCTGATCTCACAACAGGTAATTGTTATGTAATAAGTATTATAATTTTGTATATTTGTTGCACTTTATTGATTTCCAACATACTATTAAATTATTTATTATATGTATTTTTATCACCAGGTGTTGATTGGAAGTCATTGACAATACCTGCTTGTCTGCCTATAACAACTGATTATTTCCCTGATGAAGTTTCTTTGCAAAACGATTATGTTCTTTCTGATTATAATCTTTTACCTGACGACGTAAATGCAGATTTTGCACAAAATAGAGCAGTATATAAAAAACCACTAACCACCAATGAAGTGTTCAAAGAATTAGTTTCTCAACGGCTGGCACAGGTGATATATAATCAATTTTGTTAGAATGTAACTTATAATTATTTTTGATGGAACAAAGAAAAAATAGTTTCTGATTAAGTAATTAAAATTTTTATATTTTCAGGGGTTTCAACTTATTGTGCTGCCAAATTATAAACAAACTAAATCGACTTTGCCAATGTTGACTATGACTCCATCAACGGTTGCACCTTTTGCCAATCCAGCAAGTAATACAGTAACTAATCAATACTTACTTTCAATAGGAAGAGTTTTTCACAAAATCACTCTCAATGTTGATGCTATTACAGTCACTAGATATAGACCAAGGTAGGCACTCTTCTTAATTTTACACAATAAAACAATCATATCTTGAATTAAATTAAATCTTCGTGTGAAGTTATATTATACAGAAAATAAACCAGAAACCTACCTTTACTGCAATATTGTTGTAGTTTAAATAGTAACATGATGATCTTAATATAATATCATATTCCTGTACAATATTTTTTTTTTCAAATGTGTTGATTCATTTAGCTACTTTTTATTGTACAATTTTTTCTTTCAGACATCCATATCCACCATTTAATGTTCACTACAGATACAGGTTTCATGCTCCACATCATGATACTTATGAAGTATCATGGGTCTCCTTTACAACAGAGAAAATTGAAAATTTCAATTGGAATTATGTTGATCATTATATATGCACAAGAGGAGATACAGATTTTGCTCTAGCTGAGGTATTTTATTTATTTTGCATTTTTTAATATTGTTAGTATTATTACTAATCATTTGTATACATGTATATTATATTATATATATATATATATATATATATATATATATAATATCTCGCGTTTTCACTATTACATAATTCCAATATATTTCATTATACAATAAATGCTGTTAGAACTTGGCCTAGAGTATGTTAAAAGATATCTCTAAGCAGATATGAGTAAGCAGACAGAATAAGAGCAACTTTTTTTAATTGAATAGAGTATATTTAACTTCTCGAAGTAGAAGTTTATGTTTTCACAAAAAAATTCTCGTGTTAGTTAGTTTTCCTAGTAGATTGGCCGAGCTGTTTCTTTAAAATTTGCAGAACAGTGCAAAAAATCACTTTTATATTTTCATAAAACAATCAAAACCGATTATAAAGATTCAAAAACTATTCAAACTAGTTGTAAGTGACAAATTGCTTTAAGGCAAGTGTAAATAATAAAATTAATTAATAAGAAATTAATTATATATATATAATAATTTATGAATGATTTATAAGTATGCCGAGTATACAGCAAGTATGGCATCATAATGTGGCAAACTATTGCAAATTATTCAATTTTATAAAAAACAATTCTTATACATTATTGAAAAACGAACACGTGCCTATTACATACACGGAATATTTTTTGACATATTAGCACTCAAATAATCCAATTTTCATTAATTTTGATTATTAAATCACTTTTTGCAGTATTGTAATATTTTAGTATAGTCATTAAGACCATGTACTTTACCGCCATTTTTTTTAACAATCAATTAATCAATCTCTTCTATTTTGTCTATAAAAACATTTAATATTTTTGGAATACACCTAAGTCTGTTTTTACACGGAGATTGGTTCCAGAAGAATCCGTGTAAAAAAAAAGTGTAAAAAAAGACATTGATCTTATACAAAAATGGGTGATTTGTTCCTAATCTCTAAAACCTATTAAAATTAGTGAAAAACAAGAATTCATGTTTATTTTATTAAATCAAATATATAATACTTAGTGCTATTCACATTTGCTTTGACCAGTAAAAGTTTGTACGCGCTAAAGGGGAATTCTCTTAAATCTTTAAGCTAGTGTTCGCAAACTATCGATACTATCGATGGTTTCAGACTTTTTTCTTTCATAAATACTTTTTTGTGATATGAACATACTTCGCAAAAATTTAATTTGACAAAAAAAATTTAGGTACATAAAATTTCAAATCGTGCTAAATGGAATAAATTCGTGTAAAAAAATTAAAAATATTCAATTTTCAAACCGTGTACAAAAAGACCGTGTAAAAACAGACTTAGGTGTATTTCATTATGGAACAGAAAGTTTCAGCAATTTGCCTTAAGGGACCATGCCATACACCACTAGTTATTTTTTATTTAACAGATCAAGATAATTTATATAATTAATGGAACTGCATTTCAAATATTCATTTAAAAACGGTGGCTACTTATTTGTAGACCGATTATAAAAAAAAAAACACTAAATTTTCTATTATTGCAATAAGACTAGATTTGTCAAATTATTTAATGACGTATTGAATATTGAATACTTATCCTATGTGTGTATATTTATTTTTCTATAAACAGGCCTTAAAATATTGGAGATTTCGAATGTACATACTTCCGCTTAGTAATGTGGCCACACGTAAGATAATGGATGGAACCGTTCGGTGTGATATATATCAGGAACCTACATTAGAAGAACAAAACAATATTATAGATGGATTTTTAAAGTTTGTTGAAACATTTCTCAACAAAATTCGACGCCCAAGTCATGTAAAATTGGTAATTTATTATAAACTTATACATATTTGACAACTTTATTCCTATACCCAAAATTATTTATTTTGGCTTGATATGTACTTTTTTATGTTTTACCTTTAATTTATTTTTTATTATAAAATATTATTTACATTGTGCATATATCACTACCTTGAAGTTAAAATTTTTCAGGGCGGTTCGGGTAAATCAGCATTTCGTGAGAGGTTGGGAAGCAACAGAATGGATAAACCGAGACCAAGGTAATACCATTTATATTATAGTATTTATTGAAAAATATTTATTTCGGCCTTACAAATTATGGCACAATTTTCGAGAACGTGTTTATGAGAAATCACCTATTTGATTTACAACTTTTGCAAACAGGTCTGGTTCCAAAGTTATGGAGAGGAGGATAGCTTCATCAGATTCTAATTTATCTACAGATTTAATTACTGCGGCAGATATTGGCGATGAGTAAGGCGACAAAATTGAACTATAATTTTCAGCTTTTTATTGTTGTTCTTTTAGTATCGTACTTTGAGCTTAATAATTATTTTTTCATTTTTTTTATTTAACAGATTGGTGTTTTGTGGTGTGTGGTGTTTTAAATTCACATTAGTGGTGAAGATTAATTTGTTATATATGTACCTAAGTTATATAATTTTGTTCCACTTTCTTTTGTATTGTCTTTTATTCTTACAAATTTCCGTAGTTTTATATGTTTTTCATTGAATTGCATGATTTTTGCTTATACACTTTTAGTATTTTCTGTTGTTGTACTTGATACTTTAACATTCTTTAGATATACACTTATTCAGAAACACTTCTTACAATGTAATTGCATGTTATTTAGAGATGGTTACGAATATAATAGGTAAATCATTGTTCTTGGTCCAAATAATGTAATGTGCTGTTTTTTACTACTAATAACGTTTTTTTTATAAACTATGTTTTCAGGTTTTTAATATTTAACTATATTTTTCACACTAACTTTCATGGTTTTATTAATTTTTGTTTGTGTCGAGTTGAAAAAGTAACATCTTCTACTATCTTTTCACTATTGTCTAATTCAAATTTTTTTCATTACTCAATGTAATTTCTTAATGAGTTTACTTTGTATTTTTGTTTACCAATATTTTATGATAACTAATTCCAATTTAAGAAACAATGCCAAAAATATGTTGTAACTGATAGTCAGCCACCAAGTCATCTTAGCTTTGTTTGTCAGATATTATTACAATGTTGATTGATTAGCCTGCGAAAACTATTCAAATTTATTCAAATCTATGTATATCATATATCGTGTAATATTTTTTTTAATAAAGTTTAAGTAGACGTTCCTTTTCAACAAATAATATCAATTTTTGTTTTCAAATAAATATCACATATCATTTAACCAACATTTTTAACTCTATATGAATTTTTGACTACTCTTCAAAACTTTATCAGCAACTAGATTAAATTACAATACAATAACGATATACATTTATTCAGTTCTCCAGTATTCAATTAGTTTAATTATAAACAAAACCTAGAACTTGATCTTGCATTGGAAATGCATCATTTAATATGAAATTCTATTGCAAAAGTATTTCATTCAATATGAAATCCTACTTCAGAAGTTTCTTTCAATAGTACAGAGACAAATATGTTTAAAATTATCATTTGTCGGTGTATAGACATTAGAATTTGGATTATCAATTTATTTTTAATGATTTCTTGAGGATTATAATGCTATTTTATCGGAAGCCTATCTGGACGAAAATTGACTATATCTGCAAAGTTTTCATTAGCTAAAAGTGTTATCAATAAAGTGCAACCTACAATAATAATGAAATCAATTAACTCTATTATATTGCTCAGGACGAAGATTGAAATAACCAAACTACGTACAGGTGCAACAAATTTGGAAATTTTGGATGCTATGAAGAATTCGCCCGATGGAATTGGCTTTTTAAATCATACCCAGAGTTTACCTAGTTACACATTTGTGTCGACTGATGCCTGCACATGGTTGCTGGACCATTTAGAGGGAGTAACAAGTATTGAAGCGGCCTGTGTTATCATGAAGCAAATGTTAAAAGATCGACTTATTTGTCATGCTTCAGGGGACTTTGACAAACCATTTATTATTGGATTTTATTTATACTATATTGTTCCCCAAGAAAAGGACCAAAAAGGTATACATTTAATACATACAACTATACATAAACATGAAGCCTATATGTCTGTACATTATTTATCAGATTATATTCAACCACTTTTTGATCTTGAGAGCTTCGAAAATGAGTGGATGGAAGTTGGAATTAAATTTCCTAATAAGTCTGAGTCTCAAGAACATGAATCATCAAAGGAATCACAAGTTGTGCACTTCTTAAGAGATGTTATTGTTTCTCCAGTTCTAGAAGACCAAGAATATGACGGTACGTTTTTTTTTTTATTAAGTATCTTTATAAATATGTACAAACCAATTGCTTTTTACATAATGTGCATCTATGTACGTCATATTTTTTTTTTTTTGTCAAAACTAGATTTATTCAATTACACCTTGCCATTTTTGAATAACATAGGCAATAAAATACTTACAAACAGTGATGTGTCAACCCAAAAAATTTCTGATTCTGAATCATAAAATACCTCATTTGTATCATGATTTAAATCAACTTGAATGAAGCTAACAAAATATAAACTAAGACAAAAAAAGCTCCATTGATGTATTTGTTTAGTAAAAGTGATAATTCATTATAAAAAATGTTGAACTTGATCAATATACTCTCGATAAAGCAGATATTATAAACGCAAATTACTGACAAAAAAAAATATATTACAAAAATTATTAAAAATTATTTAATTTTGAAGAAGTTTGAAATATATTTTCAAATTAATTCACAATAAAAGATAATCAAACACTTATGCATTACTAAAGCATATAGAACCATATTCAAAATCTTAGATCATCAGAATAGGATCATATCTATATACAGAGCTGAATGTAAAGACATTTCCTTAATAAATGCAAGTCATTATTTGTATCTACCATAAAGCCATATTTTGGTGAAAAATATTTAGTACGCTATCATAAATCTTGCTATTACTTCATTGTTTTCCTTACTTGCCTAATCAACAGTTTTAAATGGAGTTCAAAGTTAAAACTCTTTCAGCGCTCCATCTAATAACCAAACACAAGAACAATGTATTTCATTATGTTGTGATTCTTCTTTTGAGTCTGATCAAAATCCGGATAAATCCGGTTTCGGTTAAATTGTATAAGTCGAGTGATTCGGTTCATTTTGATTTGGATAACAAATCGGATGGCTTCGGTGATTTTTTTCTTTTATTTTAATTTTTATATATAATTAGATTTATAATTTCATATTTATTAAAATATGTGTCAATATATATTGTCTCTCAATCAGACAATTGTCTGGCGAGAGAGAGATTACAGTAAATATTTGTTGGCTTGATATGAGTTGATTTGAATTAAGTAAAATCACATCAATCATTCAATCAGGATGTTAAAAGCTTTATTACAATTATTGAAATAACTTGACTTGGCACAAATGTACTTGTCATAATTATTATGCTTTATTGGTGAATATAACCATGCCAATTTTTTTAAATCCTTTTGGAATTATAAAGTAATTCTGATTTGTCTATGAATTTTTTACTATTCTTTGATGCACATTTTTAGGTTCTATTTATAAGCAAACCCATTTAGAAATAGATGTTAATAACAAAAGTGATAGAATTGAGTGGGGTCATGCTCTTTATCATTCAGTCATGAGACCTATGTATGCTTATGAGTTAGTAGTGCAATGGTTGACCGCATCGGGTACAATTGTAGCTGATTTGGTAAGTTCAAAATACAACATAATGATTTCTTATTATCTATTTTTGACATTTTAATTTCGATTCAAGGTTATGGGTTGGTCAAGGAAAGCCCAATCATGTAGCTTACAAATGGTGCCTATACCAGCTGATCCAATGGCTCAGCCTTTCACTGCAAAATCGGACCCTTTAAGAGGCCCTATTTTTATACCTTTACATACTCATGTCTTATGTTCTCAGGGTCACATGTTCAAAGGTTTGTAGCATTTTAGAATGATAGCTACTATTTTACATTTTGCTTTTATCCTACACTATTTCCATAAAAAATTAATATTTTTATAATCATATATTATTTTTATTTAGAATTTCCTGAAGAAACATGGGGAGATAGATTATTATTGTTGCAACATGAAATTCTGTCTCGATTTGGATTTCTTCGTTGTACTGTTGAGTCTGCTCCTGGTACGAATATGTTATCTAGTGACCATCATTACATTCACTGTACTGGCAACATGTTCATTCTAATACCATCCCAATTATCATTGAGGTAATTATGTATACTTTTTAATGCAAGTTCTTACATTTTTCTATGATTTTATTTGGGTTTATGCCCAAATAAATTGATACTTACGATTTTTCACATTATAATATTTATATATGATATATTATTATACTATTGTACGCTCATATATAGATATATTTTACCATTTTTGTTCATTTTTTTAATTACAAATACAGTGGTACCCCGACATACGTAATAAATACATGGAAATGCTATTAATTTGTTCTAGCTCTGTGGTTCTTGTTAAGTTTTTCGAATACTAAAAATGTATTTACTGTTTATTAATTTATTGATTGTGTTTTTCGTCCATTTATGATATTGTGGAAATTAATTAAACATGTTTGTTTCATTGAAAAACTTTCATACTCGAACTGTCGTAATTTTTTTGAGGTGATTTGCAGCCACAAACCATTAAACCTCAGAAAGCTGCTTATAATTTATTGTAAGACCCTTAGCTGGATTTATACTCTTTATCAATTCCTTCTGTTTAAACTCAGTACATATCTATGATGTGTTACGCTCGTACATCCTCGCCATTTTCATATTTTTCTGTAAAATAATTTACTATCATAACACAGTCAACTATTTTTATGGTAGGTTAATCATTGTTACAATTGACAAATTTTTTCATATTTTTTTTCATTGTCATTAACATTTTTCGAGAAAACTTTTACTCGCTCAATGCTCGAATATCGAATTTTGCTCGTATGTCGATGCAACGAATCGCTTTCTTGGCGGCTTGTACCCCGAAACATTCGTATGTCTGGTCACTCATAAGTCGGGTTACAACAGTATATTATTATAAGATTATACATTTATATATAAATTGCAATTTATTGTCAATTTTATTAATTACAAATACTTTTGTTTGTGATTATAATGTGAAATTATTGTATACAAATGATATAAATAAATTGTATATATATATATATATATACAATTTATTTATATCATTATATATATATATATATATATATATATATTATATATATATATATATATATATATATATATATATATATATATAACGAAAAGCATGACATATTTACAATTTTATTAGGCCACGGCCACGATCTATGTCAATTAACCAAAGAAGGGCATCTAGTCGTTATCCTGTTCTTCCTTCTAAAAATGATGTAGGTCAGAGTCCTCATGAAGCTTATATAACCCGACATGTTAGTGGGAAACACAAAGGTGATCATGATGGAGTGAAAAGGGTGAGAATAAAATATTTTATTTACAGAAAATATTTTTATCATTGTTTAGTGTATACTATCGGTAAAGCAAAAATTCAGTTTAATAGTGGAAAAAATATGCAGCTGATATAGATATGGTAAAGCTAACTAACTAGTCGAAAAATCACCATCTTTATTTTGTCAATGAATAAAAATGTTTAACTTAAATATAGTTAGTTACTAGTTTAATATGCATACTTTTTATGCCAAGTTCTAGATTTTGACGGCATGTATAATCCTTGTATTGGTAAAACATTTTTATTATTTGATTATTTTATTTTGATCAGCTTAAATTAATTCATTAAGTTTGATTAATAATTACATCTGGTACAAGATTAATTAAATTTTTTATATTTGTAAATTTTATTTGGACAAAAATATTATTTTATTATTTATATTTTTCAGGTTGGATTTTTATGGTCTTGGAATCATATGATCTCAAAGAAATGGAAGTCGCCATCAACTAATGCCACAGGCGATGAAACTTTCCAAATAAAATTATTGAGAGATTTTAAAAACTTCTGCTCAAATACTGATCAAAGACTGGTTGATTTTTGGGAAGATTGTTGGAAGACTAAGGAAATGGTTTCGACAGCAGCCCAATGTTAGTGTTTTAAATTTATATCTATTTTCTGCGATTTTATATATTAATAATATATATATTTGTTATTTTATTATATGATTATATATTACTATTTGTTAAAGTTTACATATTTTATTAATTTATTACTGATTTTATATGAAAAATATTTATAACTTATCGGAACCGGGCATTTTTAATTATTCTTACGTTTTGACATTAATACCTAAAATGATAAAGAAAAAGTAAGTCGTATTCTATTAGATGTAATTTTTAATCTCGGGGCATCCATTAATTACGTGATCGTTTTTTTTAATGATTTTTGAATCTCCCCTTACCCTTGGTGATACGTCTTGATATTTAGAAGTTACGTAAAATTTTGCGAAAAAAGTTTTTGAATTTACGAAAAGAACGTAAAATGTTTTTTTTTTTTTTTTGAAAAATCAGGTAAAAAATAAATACACGTAATATCTCGCTAGGTCCTTTCCTCTCCCACGTGATTTTTTTCGTGATTTTTTGTTAAACCCCCCACTCCCGCTAAAAGCCCCACTTGATTAATGGACGCCCCCTTAACAAGTAGTTCTGAAAGCGCTAACAGGATAGATTCAAGTTAAAAAGAAGAAATCAAGAAATTGAATTAAGATTTGAATCGTTTTGTTACATCAGTGTTTTTCGTTTTTGTTACTGCTGTACGGGCTAGCGTGTAGCCCAAGTAGGTAGAGCTTGCTACTGAACTGAAACGTATTTCCGATGCTCTTGTGCAAATGCTGTTCGAAATTTATGTGCAGACATGTCATTTTCCGGATAATACGCTTTTAAAAAAACTAAAAAGTACAAAATCAACATTTACAATAATTTCCAGAGTGATAAATCTGGAAGAGTCGGCTTACAATCCCCCATTATAGTTTTTACATTCATACGCAAATTCGCGTCTTCTGCCATTTGCATGCGACTTTTTCTTTTTGTTCTCTTGAACTCCGTGAAAAATTATTGATTGTTGTTTCAAATATATTTCGGATTACAATTAGAAAATTCAAGAGAGATTCGAACATTAGCCACTGACTGCCTGAGTGCGATTGAAGCTTGATGTCGATTACATGTTTATATTAGGGGGTAAATTATGTTTACTTATCTATGCAGCCAACTAATTGCGTGCGGCTTTCATTCTTTTATAGCTTCAATTAAATTTTTAGGTTTGCTGAGGTAACCCAATCAGTAAAAAAGTATTTCGATCGGTTGCGCAGTTGGCGTTCGTTGAAAGATAAAAAAATGCAAACAAACGTTTTCGTTATATATTGCTTTTTTATTTTTGCAAAAGTAAAAGCTCGTCTTAAGCTCACAAAAAGTTGTGTGCTTTTTATGATGACGAAACCTTCAAGAACAACAGTGTCAAAATTGGTTTGCCAAATTCCGTACTGGAAGTTTTTAACTCTAACATGAAAAATGCTCTGGCCGTTCAGTTGAAGTTGATGCCGACCCAATCAATTCAATAATTGATTTGGGTCGTCACAGTACAACGCGCGAGATGGCAAAGAAGCTCAATGTACTACCTAAAACAAATTGGATATCTTTAAAAACTCGATGCATATTTGGTTTCTGGTGAAATTAAAGAAACGCAATTAAGCAACGCATTAGCACCTGCGATTTGTTAAAAAACGTAATGAAAATAATCAATTTTTAAAACGGCTGAAAACTTTCGATAAAAAATTGGTTGTTTACAATATCAAGCGGAAAATATCGTGGCCGAATGAACCAGCTTAACCCTCCATCGGTCGGGGTGGTCCGGCCAGACTTTTTTCGACTTCAATTTAAAAAAAAATACTTTTAGTAAGCCTATCGACTTGAAATTTCTAGACTTCTCCTAAAATTTTATTAGCTGTCGTTCAATGAAAAAATCAGTAGATAAATATCCGACCGGTGGTCATCAAAAGATGGTTTTGCTACCAATTTGTTGGAATAACAAAGGAATTGTCTACTTTGAACTGTTACCATCCAACCGAACGATTAATTTTGATGTCTGTATTGAACAACTAACAAAATTTAACAATGCAATTGAACAAATTCAACAATGCAAAATGGTCCCGAGTTGATAATTTGAAAAGGTTTTGTATTCAACATGACAACGCATGATCACACACAACGTTTTTCATTTCACTAGGCAAATATTATTGGAGCTTAGTTGAAATGTTTTGCCTATTCCACCATATCGTCCTGACTTTGAACTATCTGATTACCTTTTGTTTCAATCTTTACGAAACTTCCTGAATGGAAAATATTACAATAATGATGGTGATGTCAAACCGTTCCCGCAGTAGTTTTTTGTCCGTAAAAACCAGAAGTTTTATGAACGCTGGATTATGATGCAGCTTGAAAGATGGCAAAAGGTGATTGATTGATTGATTTAGACAAATTCGAATAGACGAGGGAACGACAAATGTCGTCCGTGTGCCTTAAATACTTCGTTTATAGTCGCTTGTAGCGAAGGTATTAAATACGTGGATTGAATGTTAATCGAAAATTTTGAATCACATCAACCATTTCTCATATAGTGACTAAGTAACCAATAATTGATAAAAATGTATGTCAATATCAATAGAGCTAAATAAAACTAGTCGGGTGTATGGCATCGTGCCTTAAGGCAAATTGCTGGAACTTCCCGTACCATAACGAAATGTTCGAGGAGTATTGAATGTTTTCAAATAGATTATTATAAATATTGTAACATTGTCTAATATTTATAAGAATTATATAATCTGAATTGCAAAGTTGAAATTATTTGTTTAAAGTATATTAGAACTTTAGTCAGAATTAAAAATAAAATCTGAATTATTTTCGATTTACAAAAAATTTTTTTTGAACACTGGGTTTCCGATATATGTTTATAAACTATACAAATCTAAGAGAGATCTGTTAATGCATATTGCTAACCCAGCAAAAGTCTTGACGAGCGTATATTTTATGTGATTATCAACTTCAATGATGATTATAAGATTAGCTTAGTTATTCAACCTGAGGGTTTATTTTTAACTCGTAATTTAATAACGATATAATTGCTGTGACAAAAAGTGTAAGTGAAAAAATTTTATACATGTATTCTCAAAAAACTTGAGTTTTCTTAGCCATTGAGACGAAAATGTTACTATATTAGTATATTTGTTTAATGAGCTTTTAAAATGTATATTAAATACTTAAACTTTCATGAAAAGAAATTGCATAAAAAACATGTATTTTAGTAACATCAACACACTTTGCAAAAAATATTTTCAGTATCTATCAACAGGAATATTTTATGAATTTATAATAAATCTATCAATCAAAATTGTAAACGAAATGCAAAAGTGGCTGATACCATCTTATCACAAATCAGTGAATTCTTATTTTTAGTTTTATTACACATGACCTAAAAAGGCTGCATATCATGAACGATTTTATTAACTTTTTAAATCGCAATATCTCACAAAATGTGATTCAAGAAACAATTTTGTAGATAATTTTATAATCTGCAAATTAGTCTAACGTACTTTCTTTTAACTTCCCGTAGGGTAAGTTATAGTAATCGCAAAAAATCGAAAATGAAAATTTTTATATATCTTTACGTTTCAGAGGTTTCTGAATATTTTGGCATACCTTTAAAAAAATGGATGTATGTGTGTGTGTGTGAGCGTGTGTGTATGTGTGTGCGGATACAAATTTTCGTCGACGATTTCGGGAACACGGATGAAGCAGTTTGAATAATTAAAAAAAAAAAATTTGGTACGGAAAGTTCCAGCAATTTGCCTTAAGGCACGATGCTATGCGCCCCACTAGTTATAATTCTTATTTAGTAAAATGTGAAAAAACACAATTTTGTGCCATTGATCTTGAATATAAAAAAAACGTGGGGGGACTTCTGACATTTAATTTGTAAGGGCGTATTTAGCGTTTGCGTATTATATTACAATTAGATCGTGCTTGAATTCCTGAAAGTTGTCGTAAGTTAAATTTTTATAATTGAATTAAATAAAATAAAATATAGTATAATGATAAGTCAAAATAGGGTGAGTTTTTATTGGAGTTCTGTACGCTGTGCATGAATTGGACTGAATTGAATTCAAAACACAACACAAACAAAACTATTGCATGATGTGTTCAAAGGATCAGTTTTGATCTAAGATATTAATCTGCATTTAATTCAAAATTTCAAGATCTTCATTTTTGTTATACTGCGATATTTATTAGAGTTGATATCTAGCAAAATTCTATGAAATTCACCAAAATGCTACAAATTAATTGATGATATGATGATATTAAGTATTCACATTTTGTATCAATCAGCATGATTTAGTTTTGATCACGGTTTGGAATGGAAAAGTGACAACAATGGTAATTTCTGTACAAACAACGTGCCTTCTGCGCCACTTATTATTATTATTGTACTGTTCAAAGGCAATGCCCCGATGTGAGAGTACATCTTGATTTAAGCCCCTTTCCACCTTTGTTTATAGTTTTCTTAAAGTCTTGTACCTTTTACATGCATACCCTTGTCCTTTGAGATCTTACTTATTTCATAGATGACTTCGTGCAGAAGTCACTTTTTTCATAATATGGGTTGTGCGGCGATTCCCAATTACATTCCTGTATCCAGTGCGACTCTGGCATAAACTACTATTGAAATTGTTAATGCGCACGCATTAGATTACCGATATTTAGGGTATAAAAGGAAACCAGAATCTTATCAGAGTCTCTTGTTCTTGCTTCGGCAGAACATATACTACTAATCAGAGTCTCTTTCACCACAGTTAGTCATAGCATACGGTTCTCACCAATAAATATTATAGCTGCCAATAATGATCTAAGATAATTAAATTATATAAACATACGTAATTGTGTCTTCACATATATGTTTAATGCTTTCCGCTACCACTTCGGTCTTCTCTGGGAATGTAAGATAATAATAGCAAAATTAAAAAAAATGGTATAAATCATAAATACTTTTATTTAACAATTTGCTTTAAATCACGGTCACTTATATAATATGTTTTAACAAAGAAGATTTAACATCAAGAAATCAATTGACTATCTAATATAATACGTATTACAGGTATTAACAGCACGAAGACTATAGATGAGTTGACTCCAGACGCTGAACTTCTGGAACAGAGTTTATAATTTCTTCGACACTGTTCACTGCAAGCTGGATTAAATTTAGCTGATGGTCCCATACATCCTGCATAACTCATTACGTGGGCAATGTAATTTTGTTCAAATACGCCACGGATTAGATGAGAACATGGACCTGGAAAAGGTAGATAATGCAATTTGTTATTGTACAATTTATACATTTTCTATTGTTATTTCTCAAGTTATTCTGAAGTGTTATTCGATTTCAATGAAGAAATTTATTTTTATATGAAATATCTTCAGACTCTTTATAACGAATGGACGATTTTCGTCGGGTTCACTAAGATGAATTACACATGTATTTCGTTAAAATATATGAATAAACTATCTATCGTTACCTATAAAATTTAATTGTTTTCTTTATTATATCTATATAATATAAAACATACTATCTCAAGGTTCACTATCTGAAACTAAATATTAAAGCGAAGCTAATCAATTGCTTTTGTTTTGTTATAATCAAAATAAGCAAGGAAGCAACAATTTTTATTCGTGTAATGCAACCCATCTTAAAATAGGTACCATAATTTGGATGGAATATTTTTAATGATTGTCGTTTGGGCTCGCCCGTAGGTAAGCGGTTAAGAGCGACGGGACTTGTTTCAGAGGTCCCGGGTTCGACACCCGCTTCGAGCAGCCTGTTGTCAGTCGTGACAACGATTTTCACTTGGAAATATAGATAGCAATATGTTTCCAAGAGAAAATAGCCCTTGCCTGGCATTGTTGCAGCAATAAAAAAAAGTCAGCCTTATTAGATTAATTCTAATAACAAATATCATCAAATATGGATGGATTAACCATTGGGTTACCATCTAAAAAAATTCGAAGTGAGGAGAAGTTTCAGCCCAACAGCTCATAGGACGTAAGGTTCTGATTGCTGTTAAAAATATTAAAAAAAAAAATGATTGTCGTTTAATAACGTTTTTGATTTTGTATAATATCAGAATTGAAGGTTTTGCATTCTCTTCATCTTCTATTATGTATTGAATAATTGAAGATGAAATGTATGAAGGTTGAAGACGAGTAGTAATATCATGTGAACGTGGATTTTGCTTCTTATTTAAATATAACAGAAAATTATCGAATGATTTCAGTAGGGTAAGGTTGCCAAAGTCGTACCTCCTAAGAAAATAATGTTATATTAGAGAGTACTTAAATTTAAAGAAAATCTTTAGCGTTTATTGAATCTTTATTAGTTGCCTTATGATTAACAATTCGGTTGTTGCAGCAATAAAAAAAAGTCAGCCTTATTAGATTAATTCTAATAACAAATATCATCAAATATGGATATCATCAAATATGGATGGATATGGATTAACCATCTAAAAAAATTCGAAGTGAGGAGAAGTTTCAGCCCAACAGCTCATAGGACGTAAGGTTCTGATTGCTGTTAAAAATATTAAAAAAAAAATGATTGTCGTTTAATAACGTTTTTGATTTTGTATAATATCAGAATTGAAGGTTTTGCATTCTCTTCATCTTCTATTATGTATTGAATAATTGAAGATGAAAATGTATGAAGGTTGAAGAAGTAACTATCTGTGAACGTGGATTTTGCTTCTTATTTAAATATAACAGAAAATTATCGAATGATTTCAAGTAGGGTAAGGTTGCCAAAGTCGTACCTCCTAAGAAAATAATGTTATATTATTGAGAGTACTTAAATTTAAAGAAAATCTTTAGCGTTTATTGAATCTTTATTAGTTGCCTTATGATTAACAATTACTGTTTTTTATTAAAACAGGTTTTTTTACGTTTTTTTTAAATGTGCTTTTTATACGATTAGGACGCCTAGTCGCATTAGTCAAACTTCCTATAAACTTAATCCTACCTTCTACTGAAAAACTATATAGAATTTAGTCAGAGATCAAGTTAAATTAGTCACCAAGTCGAACAACGCTATAAAATCAACATCTAAAATAAAAAAAATGTAACGAATCTACTTCATAGACCTTATACTACTTAGTGCAAGGTCTATGATCTACTTATAAATTTTTTTGAATTATGTAATAATTATTAATGATTAAAAGGAAACTATTCATAAAGACACAGCCTTTGTTGGTTATACACCCACTTGGTGTTCTCCAATTTGAGCAAAATCATAAGAATATTTTATTCATTCATTATTTCTATGTATTTATCAATACAATCCATAAAACGACCTCCATTAACCCGGTGTGACCAAGGAACTCAAGATGATGTATAATTGAAATGATTATGTATTCCGGACTATAAAAGATTTGTGAGTTCTACAAATTGAACAAATCGAATTGTTATAAGCATGTTACCTGTGGCATATACGGGAACATCTTCGCCACCATGCGTCTCGTCTTTAAGGTAAAATGCTGCCAAATGCTGATAATACGGTAAATCTCTGTTTTGGTCATTTTCGACGGAAATCCAGGTCTTGTTGCTCTGCGTATCATTCTGCCTATGATAATTGTATCCTGGTCCATTGGCATAGGTTAAAGTTTCGTAGTATGTCGTATTATCGGTAGTGTAACCTGAAAAATAAGAAAATATTATTATAATATACATTTTTTTACATGAAGTTAACTAATTATATCTTAGTTATAAAATGCTTGTTGAAATTAGACAATTGCTAAGGTGACCAACTATTTTTTGTTCAGAAAGAGTACGTAAAGCAAAGTAACAAGTATTTTATAGGTAAAAAAAACGATAAAATCTCTTCTCTTTTTTCTTTTAAAAACATATTTTTCGGATTTTTTTGCTAAATGAAAACGTTTATCCAATATGGAGCCACATCTGAACAAAGTTCATTTTCCGTATTACATTTGACTATTCATGTCAAAGAATGTAACAACGTGATGACTTCTCACTGCTCCAATCATTCCCTAGTGAAAATATCCTTTAAACAGCAGCATTAGTGCCTCAACAATTTTGAATTTCTTCAGAGAGAAAGTTATTTGTAACAATATTTTTTATTGTCTTCATTAAAAATTCGACTGCTGAAGAAATTTTTCACCATTCTAAATTTTGCTATTTAGAAGGATCCATTTATTTGTACTTTCAAAGAGTACAAAACTCAGTAGATGAGTATAAATAGGTAGTTCACCTTGTAACTACAGAGGTTTATTGTTGTGACATTCGAGAAAATGGAAATGAAGAATTTTATAAAATGATAAGTTCATATATTATTAGAAGTCATGAAAGCCAGTGTGGGCTTTTTTCTTAGACATTATACACAATATCATACTTTGAGACCCATCAAAATCGATGGGTGATGTCGCACACCCAATCCAGGCATCTTTTTTGGGGACCTGTGTAATTTGGATTTATAATATATTTGGAAACATAAGTATGAATACGTACAATTCGCCTGCGCCATTGCCCATTACCAGATGGGGATAGTGCTTTTTGGTAGAGATCGTAATTAATTGTTGACATATAATTACTATAAAAATTCACGCTATTCCTTATATGTAAAACAGTTGATTTAGTTATTGTGTACTAGTTGTTAATTTTATCATTTCTATTAGTTTTTGTGCCTTCCTAACAGAAAACAACAAAAGAATTTCTTAAAAATTTGCAGTGGAATCGTTTTATTGTCCATAATCGCTAACAAACTATTATGTCTCCTCAGAGCAGGCAGCACGGGTTTATAATATTTGGCCTAAACTCTATTTTAATTGCTTACCCAGAATGTCGTTATTTCGTAAAGGATAGCCGTTAATTGTGAAAGCATGGGAATGATCTGCGGTGACTATGACTAGAGTTTCTTCAGGGTTTGTATTTTCCAATACTGTTTTGACAGCTTCGTCAAATTCAGCAGCTTCGTCAAGAGCTAATTGTGCAAAATTTTTATGATGCGCGTGATCAATACGCCCTCCTTCAACCTACAAAAAAAATATTCATGCACATCTATATTTGAAAATGTTCATCATCCATATTTGTAAGAACGTTTTAGATCGGATAATGTAGATGCAACAACTTATATAAGTAAATACCATTAAAACGAATCCTTTATCTGGCCTTTGTAATATTCCTAATGCTTGTTTGGTCATCCTTGCTAAAGACGGAGTTCCATTAGGACCCTTATCCCTCACTGCATTGTAGGGCAAATGATCTGCTGCAAATATACCTGTAGAATAAAAATAAGTAGTTTATTATAAGCAAATTATAACTTATTGCAGAAAATACAATTGTGGCAAGGGTTCCTTTGATTTTATAGCAAGTCCTTTATATTCCTTACAATTACATTTGTGATACGTGTATTTATGCAAAAGTGTTCAGTTCAGCGTTTGATTATTGCAGGCAGAAGATTGTGCAATTGGAAATGACTCCACTTAATCAAAACATATTATTCAATATTTATTGATTCCAGTATTCTTTGAAAATGTGCTATATGACTCATTAGAAAAAATGGAAAGTTAAAAACTAGTTAAGCTTATGTCGGAATGACTATAATTTGGAAATATAACCTAGGTCGTTTGGAATCATTGGTATATGATTTTTGACATTATTTGTACAGTTAATCTTCCTGTAAATCGGTACTATGAAAAGGCAGTTTCCATACTACGTGGAGCTGGAATTGCGATCTCTCTTCGATAAAACGGTACTTTTATAACACGGTTTTCGTTCAGAAGTCCTCAAGCTCCTTCCGCGCGACTTATGAACGACTTTAGTAACTGAATATTGTAAGTGACTTCAACATTTCAGTATATCATAGCTGTGTACGATACCATCGATTTTAGGAGTGTCAAGAGATTTTTTACAGGACGTTAGCTAGTCTAAAAAAAAATTCTGCTTGAAAAATATTTTTTGGGAAATGATATTTTTACTTTACCTTTTAGTTTTATCATATCCTTATATAAACCGTTCAATTTAATAAAGATAATTTATATTTTAAATCATATCTTCATATGAACTCTTCAATTCATTAAAAACGTGATCACTAGAGTTACGATTATCTTGGTCATTTTATTGATCTTCATATAACGCGGTATGAATGCTGCGATTTGTACTAATTTTAAATTTCTTACAACACAGTTACCATACTGCTCGATGTCCAGTTTCTATAGAACCCACAACTGGGTTGTACCTTAAATCCGAGATTCTTATAACACGGTTCTTGCGTTTTATCTACTGAAGAAGAGTAAAACTGGGATCGATCATACGGAAGACTTATTGATTTTTCAAATTTAAGTTTTTCTAAAAATGGGTGTTTCAGTTTAAATTTCTTTGCTTGGATCAGAAATGTACGCCTAAAGGAAGAAAGATATCAGATATTATGATCCTGTCAAAGAAAACCAAAAACGCATACATTATAAAGTAAAAGTTGAAGACGCGTTTGTATTTCAGAGTGTAAATTGCATAAAGAGTAATAAGGCGAAATTCGTACCCATCAAGTAATCGATCTCATTCACTTTCGCCTTTTCAAGTCCACCAGTCGTATTAACATAGACGCCCTGGGAGTTCAAGCTAGTCCTCGAATGAAGCCATTCTGCTACCAAATCTTGTCCATCTCCGCGTTGGCACGCCGACTCCGGGTTGCGGCTGCTGCCCATCATGTCGCTTCCACCCGCCAAAATTACCTGCCGAGAATAAATTGGTAACTGTTTTAAATCCCTTATTATTGCAAGTTTACGTTCAAGTGGTTCAAATCATTAATTGTAATTAAAGAATGTGTTTAAGCGACCATACATAAAATTGCAATCTGATCCAAATATTATATTTATATAAAATATTTGTGAGATATTATTGGTCTTCTGTTGATTATAAGTCATCAGTTCTTCAATTGGTTTTTATACAACTCAAGTATATGGAATCACTTACTACATTAGTTTTCTCAAAGTATTATAATTGTATGGAGAATTTTTTGTTTATATATGTTATTATTCTTCTTGTGTACTATAAATATTTTATTTCTTTTAACATTATAAAAATCTTGTGGTTTACTGCATGAGTGATCTCAAGGTGGAGACATTCTGTATAATTCATATGCCAGCAAATTGCTGAAACTTTTCGTAACGTAATTTAGAATTTTTAAAAGCTTTAAATATTTTTTAAAACTGTGATAAAATCAAACTTTTTGGATTTTTTTTTTAATTGTGATTTTTTTTTTGAAAAACTGATATTATTCAGAGACGTAATACAGAAGCGCCTAAGTGTCGCGTTGCAGACTAACGGTTAAACCAAAAAATCTTGGTACGGTCATAGAAATAAAAGCAAAATTTGCATATATGTACTATTTCTAGACATAAGACATATTTTATAATTCAATACATTATATATCACTGATGCATTTAATGTTAATTATGATCTCTATCTTTGGTAATTTGTAAATTTTTATATATTCGGTTTGGAACAATTATATTGCTCTCAATAGAGACCAATTTTCGGATAAAATAGAAATGTTATGATGTTAAGTGTACTTATATTTAAAATCTCTTTAAAACATCTGATAATCTGATATATAACGATCATTTTTGGCATTTTTTTTAAAGTTCAATTTTGTTAAAAAATTCATTTTTTTCAAAAATTTCAAAATTCGCAAAAATCTATTTTTTTAAATTATAAAAACTTATTAAAGCTTTTAAATAATTTACGTTACGAAACGTTTCAGCAATGTACCTTAAGGCATGATTGCATGCACCACTAGTTATATATTTTGTAATTCTTAGAAACTAAAGTTTATTAAAATATAGAAGTAGAAAAAGAACTTTATTAAAATAATTTTTAAACATAATTAACTTCCCGTAAGGTAAGTTATAGTAGTCGCAAAAAAAACGAAAATGAAATTTTTATATATCTTTACGTTTCAGAGGTTTCTGAACATTTTGGCATACCTTATAATTAGAAAAAATGGATGCATGTGTGTGTATGTATGTGTGTATGCGTGTATATGTGGAGTGTGTGTGTGATACAAATTTTCGTCCGATTTAAATAATTCAAGAAATATTTTACTTGTATTGACGAAATGAACAACTGGTGAATTTTTTTGTAAAGGCAGGTGTAGCGTCTCCGGAGATCCAATAGAAGAAGTAAAAAATAATGCTGCGGTCAAAAATAAACATTAGACATATGTACGTCGTATTATCAGATATTTTATTAAGATTATATTAATAAGTACAAATTTTGTGTAGATTTATATGGGTTCCGTACCAAAGTTTACACGATAGATGGCTTAGCGGCGCTTACGCGCTTTGATATTTCGACTTCGAATCAGCTTTGCAGCACGATTGCTTAAAAAAAATGTTCAAAATTTTCAAAATAAATCAAAATACAAAAAAAATCGAAATATTAATAAAATCCATTTTTTCATAAGTCAAATTTAAAAAAAAAAATTCAAAATTTCTCAAAACTCTATTTTTTTTTCAAAGTTTTGCAAAGTTTTTTTTAATCATTTAGTTTTCGGTAAGGGAAGTTCCAGCAATTTGCCCTAATGCACGATGCCATGCACCACTAGTTTAGTTTTAGTTTCAATAACTAAATGGATGCTTGTTAAAAAAAATGTTTTTAATTACATATTTTAATGCCTGAAAAATTATTATCACATATTTATATATATGTATGTGCGCAAAGTAATTCACCAGATTGAAATATCGGCTAACAGCTACTACGAATAATATGTAATACCCTATTTTGTGTCAAAGCAATTCACTATAAATGCTTGATAATTTCGTATTAATAGTGAGTTCGTAATATTTCTACTTACGTTCAATTTATTGCCTGGTGCTTCTTGCACAAGTTGCCTGGCGATGTCCTTTAAGCCGCTCATCTCCCTGAAATTTTCGGGCACGGACACATCGCATTCCCAATCCCGGTGAACGCTTCTCGCGTAGAGCGCGGCTGGAGTTGCGTGAGTTACTCGTGTTGTCGTTACGAAACCTGAAATAAAAGTCATTTTTATAGCAAACCACAATATTGTAAAATATCGTGACAATAATTATTTTAAAATATCGTGCTGATCAACAAACGGCACATTGCATTGATAACACGTTTCCTTTCTTATAAATGATAACAATTGAACTAATGGTGACTTAAGGGGGTATTCTACCGTAGAATTTTGAAAAAATCGAAAAATTTTTTTTTCATATTTTCAAAGTTTAGTTATTCAAAAATATGTCAATAAAAGGATTTTTCAAAATTACTATTATTTCCTGAGTTATAGCCGTTTTAGTAACGTGGCCTCGGTTCGGGTCCGACTTGTCTCAAAACTTTGAACGCGTTTTTCTCGGAACTACTTTTTTCGAGCTGGCGGTAAGGATATCTCGAGTTCTAATGAACCGATTTACTTCAAATTTGGAGAGAATCTTCTCTATACATCGCTTTATCGTATGGACCTTGCCCAAAACTATAACTTTTCATTTAGTATTTTTAAAAAATTCGGATTTGTTAAAAAAACATGAAAAAAAATATTTTTTTTTTCAAACTGCCGCCATTCAAACAAAACAAATTTGTTTGACTTATCCGAGGTTCATACGATAGCGGCATCTATTATAATTAAGAATCCATCTATTTTTTATGTTTCAAATCACCAGGAGGGTTGGAATCATGTACGCCAGGACACCCTCTTTTTTTGGGAACCTCCACTTTGACTGCTCATAACTTTGTGAATTTTAATTTTTTTTTAATAATAATTTTTTTATGTAATAATAAAATATCAATAAACAAATGATAAAATAATCGATAGTAAAAATATTATTTGTTTCCTTTATACAGCGCTTCAAAAACCGGGCGAAATTCATGACTCTACAGTAGAATACCCCCTTAAGGAAACTTGCTGTACTGTAATTAAACATTGCTGGAAACTATACCGTAATTAAACATTTGCAAAATAAAAACTAGTGGGGCGCATGACATCGTGCCTTAAGGCAAATTGCTGGAACTTCCCGTACCAAAAAAAATTTTTTTTTAAAAGATTAACATTTTTGAAAAAAAAATTACACTGAAAAATTAGATTTTTGAGGAACTATAAATTTTTGACAAAAATTTACTTTTTTTGAAAAAAAAGACTATTTGAAGAAAAGTGTATATTTTGGAAATTCTAAACTTTTTTTTCAAAGCAATCATACTGCTTTAACTGCATAGAGACGAAATATCGAAAATAAAGATTGGTACGGAACCCATAGGAATGTAAACAAATTTATACTTATTGTTAAAATCTCTATAAAATATCTGATAATTTGATGTGCATATGTCCAATGATCATTTTTGACCGCCAAATGGCATTTTTTACTTTTTTTACTAGATCTCCGAAACAGCTAGGCCTGCCTTCATGAAAATTTGATCAGTTCTTCATCTTGTTAATACAAGTAAAATGTTTTTTGAATTATTCAAATCGGACGCTCCGTTCTCATAAAAACTGAGTTACCGTTTTTGGCACTTTTTGCCCCATATCTTCGGAACGGCTAGACCTGCCTTCGTCAAAAACTAATCAGCACGTCTCCTTACCAATACGAATCGAATGTTTTTCGAATTATTCAAATCGCATCATCCGTGTTCCCGAAATCGTCGACGAAAATTTGTATCCGAACACACATACACACACACACATACATATATTTTTTCTAAGGTACGCCAAAATATTCAGAAACCTCTGAAACGTAAAGATATATAAACATTTTCATTTTCGATTTTTTTGCGATTACTATAACTTACCCTACCGGAAGTTAATAACAATCAATTATTAATAAAAATGATTGTATCAGTTAGTAATAAATAAGTTATAAATATTTTCAAATAATTATTATGAATACAGCAGAAACTCGATTAACCGGACTAATTGTTGTCGATGAGCATTCGGATAATCAAAAATCCGGATAATCGAATGTATGAAGAATAATGTTATTTATTTATTAAAAATAACAAATAAATGCATAGATATTAACGAAAATCAATGTTTATTAAAAAATGAACACTTTCTTATCTATGTAGAGTGAAGTGGACAGACGTGGGCCACAGGTTGGAGTGGGCTACCAGAATAACACTAAGACTAGACATGTATATGGAACTGCGCACATATTTATCATATTTTGATACTTGCTCAATTTTAAAAAGCATTTGGAGGTTATAAACCTACACTCTATAGCAGGGGTGGGCAAATACTTTAAAGCGCGGGCCAAAATGAAATTTTCAAAATGTCTCTCCCGGGCCGGAGGTTTTGGGTGGAGTTTTTTCCCTGTCCAATTTTTTTTTGACAAAAACACTATGTATCATTTCAATTTGAATAAAATATGTCACGTAATTTTTAAAGAAATATTATTATAAATAAATGGCTGTTAAATAAACCGGTCAATGAAACATTTTATTTTGTTATTTATGTTTTAACGATACAAATTATTTTATATTGACGCACAGTTACAATTTAACATTTATATTGCATTTCGTAGATATAATAGTAAATAGATTTCAAAAACGTAAAAATAAATATTTAAAGTTAATGCGAAACGTGAAATCTCGAATATTCATCTGACATTATTTCTTCAAAATTGGGTTCCAAATCACTTGTGGCAATCCTTAATACCGAGTGCAGATTTTCAGTAATTTCTGATCGATATTTATTTTTCGTGGAAACCATTAAAGAAAAAGTTCTTTCACAAATATATGTCGAACGAAATAAAACAATGTATTTTTGAACATAGTTAAAAAAAATGTTTGAAATGTTCGTTATTCAAAGCACTTAATTCGTTTGAGTGAAAATTTTCTTTTAGTAAATTATTTGATTGTAAGTCAATTAGTTCTTGTTGAATTTCAACAGGAGCTTCGAGAAATCGTTTAGCCAAGCCTTATTTTGCAATTCAGGAAAATCATGTAGTTTTCCTTTTATCGACAAGAAGGATACTATTTCATCATGTAAAAATTGTTCTCGAAAGCCTTACATTTCCAAAAATATGTTTCTTTTCAAGACAACAGATCTCCGACACTTGTACCATGCATTGTTTAACAAATTCTGTTTCAGAAAACGGTTTACAGAACTTAGCAATTTTATGTGCGATAACATAACTTGCTTTTGTGGTAGATTTCTCTATATTACTTTGTTTGGTAAAAATCAGCGTACCGCCCATTTTATTACGCCTATTATATATACAGTACACACACTAATAATGTTGATGTCAACAAAATCTCATAAAAGAGTTTAAAAAAATAAGCGTGCGGGAATTTTCAACGGGCCGGATAAAATGAGCAAAAGGGCCGGATCCGGCCCGCGGGCCGGCTTTTGCCCACCCCTGCTCTATAGTTATAAAAATTCCAAGTACCAGCAAAAGTTTCCAAGAAGACAACGATTTTGGCATGATTTGCAATAGATTGATGTTGGCATAGATGTCAAGAAAAAACTCCTTCGAGTGCGATGACTACGACAGACCCTTGAAGCGCTTGGATATGACCAACTGCACCGACTTGACGTGCACCAATTACGCCTAGAATCTGTGCTTGATTGTTGCAGAATGTTTTTTTAAACAATTTTATCCAACTTTATAACTTCTTTTCAGACATTAAATGAACATTTTTACTGAAGTCACTGTTTTTTCAATTTCTACCCTTCATTTCGAGTCAACGATTTTGAATTTTGTAAATTTGACAACAGATTCGTAATCAGCATATTTGAAAACACTCAGAGTAAGAATTTGAAGCATTTAGCAGCATTTTTTCAGATAAAAATTTGGCCCACTTCTCCTTACATTTTCGAAAAACACGTTAAATACACTTTTTTTGCCATTCAAAAAAAGAGATACTTCCAAACATAATTGCAAGCATCTGCTATGATAAAAAGTTGCATATTGGAGTACCCTTAGAACTACAAAAAAAAAAAAATATTTACATTTTTAACCATTTTACAACCCACTTCTGTCCACTTCACTATACATATATATTTTCTTACATTGCATTACATACAAATACTAAGCTGCAGCATTAATCATGCAAAAATTCGACTTGTAGGTATGTACATACGTACATGTAAATTGGTAGTTGGTAGTCCGGATAATCGTGAATCCGTATAACTGAGGTCCGGATAAACGAGGTTCTACTGTACTGCAAATTTCATCGTCGTAATTCATAAAGCTAATATTATATAAGTGCTTATATTTAAACGACGACGTAATTTATGTTGTGTCGACACGAGCAATATTATTTTTTACGAATCTACCAAACCGTTGGTCCTGCCTTCTCAAAAATTTAAATAATTACACACTCGGTCAATACGAATCGAATTCTTTTTTAATCATTTTAATCAGATGTGCTTTCTCTCAAAAACTGGTTGTTTTTGCACTTTTTGCTCTATATCTCACGAACGGCTGAACGTGCATTTGCCCAAAACTAGTCAGCATCTCTCCCCATCAATATAATTCAAATGTTTTCTGAATCATTCAAATCAGTTGATCTATGCTCCCAATATCGTAGACGAAAAATTATACCCAAACATCCGCGCACACACATGCATCCATACTTTCTAAGGTATGCCAAAATGTTCAGAAACTCCAGAAACGTAAGACATGCAAAAAAAATTTTCGTTTTGTTGCGATTTCTATAACTTACCCTACGGGAAAGTTAAATATTAAAAAATGAACACCATAATATTAATAGATTGGAAGGACAAAAATAAAATAATAAACAATGTAGTATATTATATTTCAAATAGATGAAGTTAGTTAAATTATTACGTGCATATTTTCACAGTTTTGTTCCATCTTGTTATTGGCTATTGGTTATATTCCATTATATTTAAGTACTATTATACTATTAACTATTTATAGAGCTATACGCACAATGTACTATGAGTGTTATTTTCTGTTACCGAGCTTTTGTTAGAAAGCAACTCAGTGGTTGTTCTATGTCTTTGTGATGAAATTTTCACATAGGTAGTTCTAATTATATATATATATATATATATATATATATATATATATATATATATATATATATATATAACGATGAAAACATTTTTGGGAAATAATTTGGGTCATTTTCAGATGAAAACAGTTTTGGGTCTTTATTTTTGAAGAATGTACATAAAATATCAAAAACAATAATTTTAATTTTAAATATGCATAAAAGATACATGATCAATGTAGGTATTTCACGCGCAAATGATTTCTATACGTAATAATTCACTTAACAACGGTTCGTGCATTTTATATAAAAATGTTGTAAAATCTTAACCTTGATATCTTGTTTTTCATATTGCAATATTTGCATGATCGATGATCAAATTAATTTATCAGAGCTAATTCAAAGTGCTTGTAATCATCGTTGTTATTCCATGACATTATTTTTCTTTGAAGGAGTATTTATGTTTATAATTTATTTCAAACTTACCATTATGGTTTTAATAACGATTAACCTGTACAAAAAAATTTCACACTTATAGATTAAGAACTAAACAGAAATACCTTTTAATATATGTATAAATAAATTATTGGATCTGAACAGTGAAATTTACCACAAAATATTTTTTTTTATCTTTCGCTAACCATAACGGTGAATTCGAAGAAAATGATTTTTTTATACACTTCAACTCACCAACAGATATAAACAATTTCAAGCAGTCAGAAAGAACTTAAATCAGTAATTCCAATAATTTATCAACAACTAATTTATTTCATGAAAACATTTTTGTTGTATACATAGTTCATAACTATTAAATGGTCTAAAATATTGTCATGTAGTTAAAGATCAACAGGAGCTTTGACTATAATGTCACCTAAATTGTTTTTTATTTCTAGAAATCTTCTTTTAAATTCTAAACCACAGCCTTTTGATAATCGGAAGTCCATCAATAATTTGTTTTTTATTTTTATTACATTGGCTTTGAATACCAATGGCATTTTGCGCCTGTCTAATGTGTTTATTGTTACCACGCCCTTATTTGTTTTCCAAAATTCATTTTTGTTGAGGCAACTAGTAAGCTTCTTAATGACGCCCTCAGTATCTCCGCTAACAAAGAATCTAGTCATTCTTTTAACTAGCAAAACATTTTGTTTTGTACTTTGTGGGAGATTCAAGTGAGTACTTAAGACCATATCATCCATAAGCACCGGCTGCGAGAAGCAAACATCATCTCTGGAACAAATTGTGTTTTCTTCAGCATTTGGAACAATTACAGATGCCGAAAGTGAGCATTTGCTGTTATTTTGTTCATAATTAGGCATTGCACAAAATCGCTTACAAGGGGGCTCATGCACTACATCTTGGTGTGATATTTCAGAATCTTCACTAATGAATTTCATTGCGCACCATCTATGTTTTATTAGATTATCTAAGTTGATCCTTTTATTTGGAAGAGGTGATAGTATTTTTCTCAGCAAAGACAATATTAAATTGCTGAGCTTGGTCCAAGGCGTTAGCGAAGTATATGAATTTATTTCCCAAGCTGTGTATTGATGATATTTCCACGTGGGTTCATCCCACGGCAACTCTCCAGTAAGCATGGCAGTTAAAATTATCCCGCAAGACCAAATATCGGCAGGCTCAGCTTTGTAAGATCCAGTTAAAACTTCTGGAGCAATATAAGGAAGAGTTCCACATCTCTTCTCAAGAAGGCGTTCACGACCATTTACTCGAAATATAGTAGCCATTCCAAAATCCGAAATTTTCAAATTATCTTTATCATCAAAAAGTATATTTTCGGGCTTTAAATCCCTATGTGTTATACCTCTCCTGTGTAGATATTGCAAACCACACAGCAACTGATTAAAATATTTCTTCGCTTCATTATTTTTCATACCAAATTCAGGCTCTATTCGATCGTACAACTCACCGCCTTCTGCAAACTCCAAGAATATATATTCAATATTGCCTTGTGTATTTTGTCCAAATAGTTTTAAGATGTTTCGGTGGCGCAAAGATTTTTGTATAACAACTTCTTTGTGCACAGCACGTTTAGCATCCCGATGCTTGGCTGTGTCGATTGTTTTCATTGCCAGAGCTTCTCCACTTCGTCGATTTAGGACTAGCCTCACTTCGCCATAAGTTCCTTCTCCTAGTATTTCTCCTACGGTCCAACCCTCATCAAATTTGGGCGCTTTTGAAGCCGCCATATTGGAACGAAAAATTTTCACATTTTAATAAAAAAAATCTGCCTTGAATAAAATACTGTCTACGTTGTTTGGCATATCACTTGACCAGTTAACT